CTGTGCCTGGGGGATCTTTTGGGAGCAGCTCCGGAGCAGCCTCCTGGCTCGGGCTTATAATTAGCAGCAGCCTTAAGTAGGTTAGGAAGCGGGGGTAGGTGGAGCATGGCCTGGCACAATTTCCCAGCATGGAGCACAGGGCCCGGCAGGCCAAGACCTACTGGAGCCAGGATGTGACCCAAGGGCAGGGCCCCTCCTCTCACCCTGGCTGAGCACCAGGGCCAGCTCTGGTCTCTGCATCCTCCCCCACCAAATTTCTGATATCTGACCCATGGGACCTAGGAGGCAGAAGGCCAGTGGACAGTAGCTACCCACGTGACTAGAGCACTATGCTTCAGGCTATCCCCACCCCCGGGAGCTGCCACTTGGGTCACCTCCTCCAGGAAGCCCTTCACGCCTGCACACAGGTCTGATTTGCTGCTGGCCTGCCCACAGACCCGCACCCACATCGTGGCCTGGTGCTCTTGGCACGGTTAGAAAGGGTGATCCTCCAGGGAGCAGTGTAATGGGCGTCCTGCCACCTGCTCTGGAACCTTAGAAATGGGTGTGTGCACAGAGCTCCCCCAACATGGTGGGAACAGAGACCTGAGGGCCTGTAAGAGCTCTGAGCAGCCAGGAGAGGGACAGGGCAGAATGTGTGTCCCGGGCAGTGACAGAGTGGGGAACCCCCAGGGTTCTAGAGCAGTGGGCACCTCGACATCTGGGTGGCATGGAGGGGCCGGCTGGACCCTGCCCTGCACACCCTCGTCAGGCATGACACACCTATAATCCCACTTGTGGGACAGGTTCGTGTGTGGCTTGCAAACCAGCCCTGTGCTAGACAGTGAGCCCTGTATCCTCGGCTGTCCTGGGGGACCAGTGTGCTCTCTGAGAGAAGGCGAGATTGGCTCAATGTGTTCTGCGGTCTGGAGCGATTCGGGGCACAGACCAGGCCTACATCCTCCTTGCGCCCCGGCGGGAGCCTTGCGTTCCAATGTAGAGAATAAAGCTGCGGCCCCTGCAAGGGCTCCTGGGGGCTGAAAGCACCTCACTGGACAGGGACAGGCAACTGGGGACACTGGAGGGGAGCAGGCCCAGCTGCCCTGGCCAGGATGGCCTGACACAGGAGGAGGCAGCGCACGAGTGTGTCACAAATCGCATCACTGCGGCTCCTGGCCACGCGACAGCAAAGACAGAGGCTCCAAGTCTTGGCCATGGGTGGCCACAGGAAGTGGATTCCATGGGTGAGCTGGGGACACTGCTGCCCAGTGGCTTCTGTGCTTAGCAGGTGGAGGTGGAGGCCACTGTGGCCGCTCTCAGCCCTGGACAGAGGGTGATGGGGTGTGAACAACCAGGCACCACACACGGCCTGGCTGGACACAGCATGGAGCTGAGCTGGGCTCACCATTGGCATCGACTGCGGGGTTTGGGGTTCAACTGCCCAGGAGGCCTGACCAAGGCCCGTCAGGTTAGCTTGGTTTCCGGATGGGGCACCACTGGGCGTGGTGCTGGCCTGCACCCTCAGTGCTGAGGACACTGGGAGTCACCATCTGACCACCCCCGCACCTCCAGCACAGCCAACTTCTGCCTCCCACGTGGCCTGATCGTGACCGATCACCAGTGGCACCTGTGGCCCTCCTCTGACCCGCCCTGTGCTCAGGAACGGTCCCACTTGATAGTGGAGCAAACTGGGGCCCTGAGAGGTCCCGTGGGCTGCCAGAGGCCACAGAGCCAGGACCCACCCAGGCTGTCCCTCCTGGTACCAGCTGCCACCCACGGTGGGAGGGACCCAGCCAGGCCGTGGGGGCCAGGGCTCCAGCAGGGATGGCTGATAGTCATCCGCTGGGCGGCGGGGGTGCCTGTAGGTGAAGGCTTCGGGCTGAGTTAGCAGTGGTTGTTTTTACTCCACGGAGCCTCCCCAGGGCTGGGCGTTCACGATCTCAGGGTTTAAGTGGTCGCAGCCACCATGGGGTCTGTTCCTACCGCTCGAGTTTACATTCTTGTCATTACCACAGTGCGAGGCTTGTTAAGGGCTATTAGAGCCAACCATGAAATTACAGTGGCTGCCACGTCTGTGGTTATGGCTGGGCGTGCTTGTTTCTTTTCAAATGTATACGACGGGTTTTACTTAGTAGAGATCATGGTTCATGGAGGGGCAGAGAGCTCCCCCACCCCCACCTGCCTGTTCCCTGCTGCCAAGCTGTGGCCCCAGGACATGCCATGGCTACCCAGCGCTGGGGTTCTGAGCTGGAAGATGGATGGAGCCCACGTGCACCACTGTCACAGGCGCACGTCCCCCATGCCCCGCCTGACCGCCCCTCCCTTCCCAGCCCCTGCCACGGTCACCGTCTCCATCCCCACTGTTCACCTTTCCCAGAATGGCACATCAGAGCCACACCGGTCTCTGCCTTCGGCTCCATCTCTTCACAGAATGCTCCACCCCCACCCCGGGGATCCCCAGGTTGGAGAGTACATTCTGGGTGCAGAGTAATATTCCGGGTCTGGGTTTCCTATATTTGCACATCCATCACTTGCTGCAGGGCATCTTAAGAGTCATCTTTGCCACATGAAGTCCAGCCCTGGCAGGCTTTGCACCAGGTGCTGGGAGGCTAAGTCCCACCAGGCCCTCCACCCAAAGGCTTCCCTGTCTGATGACTGACAGCCAGCTGGTGGTGACCATGACCATCAGGCTCCTCAGACCCCTGGCATAGCTGCTTGCCATGTGCCATCAGAGGAGAGGCAGCCTTCTTAGCCTGGGGGAATCTTGGAGATCTTCCCTGAAGCAGGGGCACTAGGAAAAGAAGAAACAGAGAAGGCAGCATATGCAAAGGCCCAGGGGCTCCAAAGACTGGATGATGAATACACTTTGGGGTAGCAGGTGCCAGGCAGAATAAACTGGAACCTCAGGCCTAGAGCTGGCGGGAGCGGGACATTTAAGGCCTACCTCACTGAAGGCTGTGTGCAGAGCCACAGTGGGGAGGTGACCTATCATCAAGTCAGGGCGGAAACTGCCAGTGAGCCCCAGGTGTGGGCATCCTGCTTGATCCCTCACCTAGTCCCTGTAGCTTGTGTCTGTCTGTTGCAAACCTCAGAGCAGCCTTTGCCCCAGGATCCCCGACTCTAGCTGGGGTGTGCTTTTCCCAGCATCCTGGGATGTCCCAGCCCTCTGTCTCCTGCCAGCATCCAGCTCCCCTGTGACAGGCCCGTGCCATGGTGCAGGATGCAGCCCCAGGGGTGCTGGCAGTGTCAGTCAGAATGGACATGTTAAGCTGAGGTCCTGGGTGTCCTGCATTGGTGTGACCTGTGTGGCCTCTGCATGGCTCATGTGGCACACTTGGCGTCCCTCAGACGCTGTGGCCTCACCTGTGCCCACGTGGCCATATTCCCTGGTGTCCAGCAGCTGCAGAAAAGGGAGGGAGTGGCAGTCTGTCCCCTTCGTGCCCTGCTGGGCTCAGAGCCTGACCCGAGACCAGGGGCATGGGCAGCTCCTATCCTAGCCCCCGCTGCCGGGTGGGGGACAGGCGGTGGTGGCCAGCCCAAGGGGCACAGTGTTTTGGCAGCCACTGAAAGGCCGTCCTCAGCACAGTTGCCTGCACTGGCCGCCAGGCTGTCTGTGACCTTCAAGACCAGTTTGTTCCGGCTCCCATCCGGCCCTGGCCTGGGCTCCAGAGCATGGTTTAGAGAGGCCACACCCACCCCTGTGTCCTTAAGACCCAGGTCCTTGCCAGCGCCCAGCTCCTGCTCCCCACGGGTGCTGGCCCCGGCACAGGGGATGCATCTGCTCCGAGTCCCTCACGTTGCAGTGCCTACTTTCTGCCTCCGGAGGGCAGCACTATGGCCCAGCTCCCGCTGTCTGGGGCTGAGTTTTGAGGTGCATGGTTTACCATGGCGCTAGGGTCCCCTGGGCCAGGTGATGTGAGCCGAGGGCAGGTGAAGGGAGGGTGGCACAGAGAAGGACAGACGGAGGCTGGGGTCCCAGAGGTTACGATGCAGAAGAGGCGGGGCCGGGGCTGTGTCGGGGCCACCCTGACCCCCACCCAGTGCTGACCCTTAGCCTGAGGCCGCTGTTTTGCTCACCCAGGGGATGAAACCCATGCCTGTGTGATGGGCCTTTGTGTCCATGCAGAGCAGAACAGGACCACATTGACAACTAGGCTCAGATGTGTGGGTGACTCACAGCACGTCATCCTTGCGGAGCTGTCTCCTGGCCCCCACCCCCCAGCACCTGCTCTCTGCTGGCACATGGGCCCCCGCCCTCTTGCCTGGGCCGCTCCTGGTTCCACATGGGCAGCTGCGTGCGTCTGCTGCTCTGCCCTGGGCTGGGCTGGGCTCTGGGGATGCTCGGCTCACACTCTGAGGGACGCATCTCTGTCCTCCCCGGGTCGCAGCTCAGAAGGACCTAGCTGGACCCGGGGCTGCCCAGCTGGCCGAGTTGTTTCCTGACCTCTGGAAATGGGAGACTGGGTGGGCACAGGCCTCGAGCATCCAGGGCCAAGCCGAGCTCCTTTTCTTAACAATGGTGCCCATGTCCCCAGGGTGACACCCACGACTCCTGGCCTAGCACTCTGGGCTCCTCTGGCTGGGCCACAAGTCTCTGGTTTTTATAGCCCAAGGGAGCCCCGCCTGGCACTCTGCCAGTGCCACAGCAGTCCCATGAGGCTGTGTGAGTCAGTGTCTACAAGGCAGAGGCCAGGACTCCACAGCTGTGGGTATAGCTGCAGCCGGGTGCTGATTGCCCCGCCCTGTCACCCCTTTGCCCACTCAACCCTCCTCCCCATTCAGAGCTCAGAGCTTCCCGGACTTCACCTCTGCCCCTGCCTGTCCCTGGGGCTCACCTGGCTGTCCCTACACAGGGCCGGTGAGGCCCCAGCACCCTGGGAGACCTAATGGGGGTGTGGGTGCTGCCTGGTCCTGGGGATCCTAAATCAGGCCCTATGGCTGCGCATCCTGACCTGTCCATCTGTGGTTTTCAGCACCTACTTAAATGTGCCATGCTGTGGCCACCTCTTGGGGGCAGTGGTCATGTCCTGAACAATATCCCAGCCCTCATGAAGACTGTGCCGCTGCACTCACAGAAGAAGCAACTTAGGGGTCCCCAGCTGCTGAAGGCCGCTGAGCATGTGGGGAGAGGTCGCGTCTGTGACCCTAAAAGGTCAGGGTCCTGCCAAATAGAAGCAGCAGAGCCTGGGTCCTCCTCACAGGAGGTCAGGACAGCCTCAACACTGCAGGTGGCAGTGATAAGGACTGCTCTCTGTGAGGGGGTTGCTACGGCCAGGAACCACACTTTGCAAATGAGCCAGTGAGCTTAGCCCTGGGGCAGTCACCTGTCCGTCGTCCCCAGGCAGAGGAGGCAGGTGCATCCCTGGTGCCCTGGGGGAGCAGTTCTAGTAGGGACAGGGCTCCCTGGTGAGGTCCCTGCGTCCTGATGTCCTCACTGGCTTGCTTACCACTCTGGGACACCCAGGCCCCTAACACCCTCCTCTCTCTGCAGTGTCGCAGCCTCAGCCGGCTCACAGCCCCCTGGAGAAGCCGCCCAGCACGGCCATCCTATGCAACACGTGTGGAAATGTGTGCAAGGGGGAGGTGCTGCGGGTGCAGAACAAGTACTTCCACATCAAGTGCTTCATCTGCAGAGGTGAGCGGGGCCCGGCCGGCACACGCAGCCCTGGGCTGCTGCCCGGACTCCGGAGAGGGCTGGCTGTGGGGAGCTTTTCGGGTCCTCCACGTCCCTTGAGGGGAAAGGAAGCCACTGGGCAGAGAGGAGGAGGGTGAATTCAGGGCCCACGCAGTGCTGGATCCTGGCCTTACTGGGCAGGCACCAGCCTCACACGATGGCCACAGAAGTCACTGTGTCTCCCATGTGAAAAATAACATACAATATCCTGGATTGAAAAAAATACAAGAAGACAAGGAAAATTTAAACAGCACTTGTGCAGCGTCCTGCATCTGAGGTGGCCCTGCCTCAAGCCGCCTTCTTGACCCCTCCCTCCCGCTCCCTCCGTGGGCACAGCCAGGGCTAAGTGCACCCGCACGGGACCTCCTGGCGACACAGGAAGACTTGCACTGGGGGAGGGCAGGGTGGATGTCACAAGGCCCTGTCCCTGGGCGGCTCCGATGTCCTCCCGGCCCCTGGGAGAGCCTCACAACCTTCATGGCAGTGGGAGGTGCAGGCAGGTTTGCTCTTCGTGAGCAAACATCAGGGAATGTGCAGCAGGCGGGGAACTGGGAGCGGTGGGCAGACACCACCCCCGGTCCTGTGTGGGTCCCGGGCTGCGGCCCTTTGCTCCATGAGGCATCTCAGGAGGCAAGGACACGACAGCTTCAGCTCTGACAGCCTTAAGGAGTGAGCATGGACAAGACACAGGAACTTGCACAAGACACAGGAACTTTCTAGAGCAGAAGCCTCTGCCCTGGGCTGGACTGCGGGCAGGTTGTGGAGAGAGGTGGTGTAGGCTGTGACTCTGCCATTCAGGGTCCTCTGGCTTGCTCACCATTCTGGGACACCCCAGCCCCTATCACCCCTCCTTTCTCTGCAGGAGGACCATGACTGTCCCTTTCAGCGGGGACACTTCCCCTGGCCTGGAGATGTTGGGGGTCAATCCCAGGCCAGTCTGTGCCTCTGACCCAAGTCCTAGGGAGAAGCTGTGGGCCTCTCTGGAGCGGGAGAGAAGGGCAAGGGCAGCCAGGTAGATCTGGGGACTCCAGGACTCAGCAGGCCATAGGAGCCCTAACCCTGTCCTCAGGGGGCTCCAGAAGCCCTGCTCCATCCACAGGAACCCCGCCCATTAGAGCCCCTCCGGACCCCCAGAAGCCCCACCCATCACTTCATGGGCAGCCTTGCCCATGGGAGGCCCCACCCCCTCACCCCTGTGGCCTCAGACAAGCTGAGACTGGAGGTCCTGCTGTGTGTGCAGAAAGCTGAAAGCCCTGACCTTCTGCTGTGGAAGGGACACCCCAGAAGTCCACTGGGCTGCTGCCCAAAGAGGTCAGCCTGCAGCGGAGGCACACGGGGCTGACTGGGCCGGGTGACGGGGGTGGTGACAGAGGCGGTGACTTAGGGATGCCCCAGCCAGCCTGCTGTCCTGTCTGACGCTGGGATCCAAGGCAGGAGTCCGCTACTGCAGCCAAGGCTGCACCCAGCCCCATCTGTGAGACAGGGACACTGCAGGGCCAGCTGATGCCCTAGAAACACCAGGATCCGGGGTCCCCTGAGCACCCACAGGCACCTCAGCCCCACAACCTGCCGGCACCCCAAAGCAGTCAGAGTCCTAGGGTTGGGAACAGGATACCACCAGGACATGGCTTGGGGCGGTTTGAAAGGAGGAAGGCGTGGATGAGTGTGGGCACTGCCGGGCTCCAGACGGTAGAGCGCGGTGGCCCTGGCGCCCAGTGCCCTGCCTTCCCCTCGGGGCTGTCTGGCTTCGCTGCGCAGGCTCCCTGAAGATCCCAGCACTGACTCGCGCTCTGGAAGGGCTACGCTAGACGTGGGTTGTAGGGTTTCCCTCGGCTGGTTGCAGGGACGCTATATGTGACAGAATGCAGGACCAGAGACCCAGAGCCAGCCTCACTGATGTGACCCGCATGCCCCTTCCTGCCCGCCACAGCTGGCCAAATGAAGGGGCAACAGTGTGGTCTCCTGGTGCCTGGGACCCCCCAGTCCATGGTGCTGCCGGAAGTTGACGAGTGGCCGCAGGTAGCATGTGGCAGGAGTCTGGGCACACACTCACCCACCCACCCCCATAGCCAGCCTCAGCCACACAACAGTGCCATGTTGGCCTTGGGAACCCAGCAGGGCTGTGCCTTTGTCAGCTGCCACCTTACCCCAGGGCTGACCCACTTAACATCTGAACGGGGTCACCAAAGACTCAACTTCCGTCTCCACTTCCCCATCTCCAACTGTCCTCTCTCCCAAATCTCACCCTGCCTGTCAACAGTACCTCTCCTCATAGTCTCAAGGTGGCTGCTGTGGCTCCAGCATCATACTCTCATAGGTAGTGTGCAACCTAGGAAGGGACTGAGAGGAGATGTGTCCATGCAGAGTGCCCTGACCTTCCCCTGAAGTTTTTTCCAGGCTTCCTTACGGCTAGAAGGCAATGGGCTGGAGAGGGGAAGGGGAGGAACAAGATGAGGCAGGGTTGGGAGTGTGGGTGGTCATGGGAGGCCTCCTGAAGGAGGTGACATTCTACCCAGAGGATCACCAGTGCAAAGGCCTGGGGCTGAGTGGGCTGTGGGAGTAGCAGGAGGCCCTTGTGGCTGGAGCAGAATGAGCCAGGGAGTGGAGGAAGCGGGGTGGTGGCGGTGGTACCTTTGTACCGCAGGCTGGGACAGATAGATGTAGGGTGCCTGGCTGCCGTTCAGTGGGGGATCCACATACACAGCACTTAGGCTTTTAAAGGTCCCTCCAAACCACTGCCGTGACCCCTCACAGTGAGCGCCCTGTGCCGCAGCTCCCGCCACTCTGTAGCAGCTCTGGGTCCTCCCTCCTGAGGGTCTTGGCCAGGTGCGGTGAGAAAACATAGTGGCCAGTGCTGGGCACTGCTGGCCACTGCGAAGCCCCAGAAAGGGGCTCACAGAGCATGAGGCTGAGTCCTCACCCGACCTGGCCCTGGGACTCCTGGCTCTGCCCCAGCATCACGGTGACCGTGAGAGGACGAGGTCTACTCGGCAGCACAGGTGAGACCCTCAGAAGGAGGACCCCAGAGCTGCTGCAGAAGGCGGTGGGAAGGGTGTGCAAACTGAGGAGGAGGATTCTGAGGGGTTTCGGGCAGTGCGTCTTTTCCTGGAATAATTTTTAAAATTAAAGATCACCAGTGATTTTTGTTCACATCTCATGCAGCACAGAGTAGGGCCTTTAAAAAAGAAAACAGTCCCCATTCCACAGACAGCTGGTCACCAGCCACGCGCCTGGCTCTCCTGATGCCCTGGCCGGGCTCTGTGCTCCAGCTGTGCCTGTTCTGCAGCTCAGGGCCTCCCGTCAGGCCCGGGAGCGCTGTGCAGTGGGTAGACGGAGCCGCGGAAGTGCGACCTCCAGAGAGCAGGTGTTTCCTGGTCCCAGGGCAGTGGAGTTGAGTCCAGGGTTTTGGAAAGAGCCAAGCAACCGGGCGGGGAGGACAGGGTGTGTGTCCGGGGAGAGCGGGGAGCTGTGTGTAGGCTGGTGACTGTGGGGTCACCCTGGGGACACGTGCATCTGGGATATAAGTAGTAACACCAGAGCTGCGCTGGGCCCTGCAGAGGGACCTCAGCCTGGCACCAAAGGCCTGCACCCACCCCGGGGGTCTTGAGGGTCTTAGGCTGTGTGGCGGGTGTTTGTAGAAGTCATCCAGGGCTCTATCTTTTCTTTCCTCCCTCTCTTTCTTTTTTCTTTCCCTCCTGCCTTCCTTCCTTCTTTTGCCATCCTGGGGGTGGAACCCAAGGCTTCACACTATACTCCTTCTCCAGCCCTTTGATTTTTTTATTTGAGACAGGGTCTTGCAAAATTGCCCGAGCCAGGCTTAAACTGGCAGTCCTCCTGCCTTAGCTGCCCAGAGTGCTGGATTACCTTCCGCTTTCTGCAACTCACAAATTCCTTGGCCTCTATTTCAATGCGGGCCCGAATGCCCTCCAGTTCCCGGCCCTCCGAGAACCCAGCTGCTGCCCACTCAGACACTCATGGTGTTCAGCCAGGTGTTGGGCTGCTTGGCCGTTTTGGGTTTTTTGCTCTTCAGTACCGGGAATTCACCTCAGGGCCTTGAGCTTCGCAGGCACAGTGCTGACCCCGAGGCTACTCGGCCTTTAGGCTCTGTTGCATTGACTTCCTCTGATAATCTAAGATGCAGAATTGATATTTTGAACTCTGCTGAGGAGGATCCAGGTTCGAGGAGGTTCAGGAAATGCCCCAGGGACAAGAGAGAAGCTGGGAACAGGGCTTCCTGACTCTGCAGGAAGTGGCAGGGGTCTGCCCTTCCCACCGCTTCCCACCGCAGTTGGCCGCTTCTGGTAGTGAGCACAGTGTGAGCCCTGAGTCACCACACCCCGCCCGCCTGTCCCCTCTCCGGAATTGCTTTATTACGAAATGGAATATGAGAGCATGCTATATCTTGATAAGGATTTCTAGAATTACAGTGAATTTGGGCTTTTATTTTTGGTAGGCAGCGATCTGGGCTGCCACAAATGACCTTGGCTTCCTCAGGACAGCTAGGTCCTGACGGGCTGAGGTGCTGAGGGGCTCCTGGGATGGGCTGAGGGCAGCAGGGTCACCTCTTAATGCCCACCTTGTGGCCTCGTGCTGCTATGGGGTCGCAGGGGCCACCACACATCACACTCCTTCTAGGACCAGCAGAGCCCCTGCCCCTCTGCGAGGGACACAGTGCGGCCTGCCTGGCTCCTGCCCTCTAGCCCTGGCCCCACAGCCCACCCTCCCCCGAGTGCATTAGCCCAGTCCTCGGGGCTGCTGGCGTCCTAGTCCCAGGGCTCACCTTGTCACCAGGGTGACCACAGCTCCTGCAGAAGGGGGCAGCTAGGCTCTGGAACCAAGACTTCAGCTGCCATCCTGGCTTGTTTCCAAGAGGCCAGTCACAGGTTTTATCAGCGGTCTCACTTGGGCACTGAGGCGCCACTGAGGGTGCTTAAAAGGTGACCTCATGGTTCTGGATCCATTCAGAGACACCCATGTTACAACATGCCAGAGATGACGGTGTTGTCATGGAAACATCTAGGTGTCACCTGAAGAGCTAGGACTATGTGGTGTCTCAGAACTGAGCTCTGGGTGGTCACCGAGCTGTGTCAACTCTGAAGGCCGGGATGGCCAGACTGTGACTCAGCAGGGCAGTCAGGGCATGCTTCATCTATTCCCTTGGAAACCCTGCTTCTGAGGGTCCTGGGGTGGAGTGGATGTGTGGCAGGGTACACTTGTGTGCCTGATTGCTTACTCGGGAGCTCCGAGCTGAGGTGATTGGCAGACTTGTCCAAGAGTGTGCGCAGGACCTCCCACCTGTCAGCTCCCTCTGCCAGGTTCGGCAGCTGCTGCTTCCTGGAGCTGGTTCTAGGGGAAAGGGACAGCACCTCGGCCTTATCACCATGGGACACGGGACCCAGAGGAGTGGGGAGGGGCTGGGTTCAGCCACAGGACCGTGCGTCCTCCCAGACTCCAGCCTGGGGACATGGCTGGTGTCATAAGTAGGTGCTCGGAGTATTAGCCTGAGCTCCATGGCCTGCCTTGGAAATCGCCTGCCTGGCATGTGGGGCAGGGCCTCATGGCCAGTGGTCAGCAGGCCCTGTAGGCCTCCCGGAGAAGCTGGAAGTAGACCGGCCTCGGAAGAGTCCTGGCCTCACCTCAGTCTCTCACTTTCCACACTTTCTGGAGAAATGTCCATTCTGCCCAGGTCAGGGGCTGGGGCTTTGGGCATGCAGAGCGGCCGCCACCACGCCCTCCTAGCCACACCCTCATGTCCTCCCTGCAGCGTGCGGCTGTGACCTGGCGGAGGGCGGCTTCTTCGTGCGGCAGGGCGAGCACATCTGCACCCGGGACTACCAGCGGCTCTACGGCACACGCTGCTGCAGCTGCGAGCAGCTCATCGAGGGTGAGGTGGTGTCGGCGCTGGGCAAGACCTACCACCCCGCCTGCTTCGTGTGCGCCGTGTGCCGGTGAGCGTACCCTGCCCCTGCTCACTGGCTTCCGCCAGCCCCGGAACTGCCCACGCTGTCCCCACTGTCCCCTGGGCAGGGTCTACCTGAGTGTCGCCCTCAGCCCCTTCCTTCCCTCCGGTGCTACCCAGCCACCACTCCACGCACAGCTGCTCTCTGCCCTGCCACACCTGTCTGCATGCCCTGCTCTACTTTAGTGTCCCCGATCTGCAGGTGACACTTGCAACCCGCCCCTTGTCCAAATCCACAGCTCCTGCCCTGGCCCAGGCCCCGACCTTCTGTGCCAGCTCTTCCTCAGCCTCCACGCTGTGCAGCCCCCTCTGCCCAAGTGAGCTCCCTGCTGTGGCCTCCAGGGAGTGTCCAAGCCCCTCAGTCTTGCCTAAGGGAGCATCACAGCTGCTCCATCCATCCATCCATCCATCCATCCATCCATCCATGCATCCATCCATGCATCCATCCATCCAACCATCCATCCATCCATCCATCCATCCATCCATCCATCCATCCATCTATCCATCCAGCCAGCCAGCCATGCATCCATCCATGCATCCATCCATCCATGCATCCATCCATCCATGCATCCATCCATGCATCCATCCATCCATGCATCCATGCATCCATCCATCCATCCATCCATCCATCCATCCATGCATCCATCCATCCATCCATCCATGCATGCATCCATCCATGTGTTCATTCCTTCATGTGTGTGTGCATCCATTCATGCCTTCATTCATTCTGCACCTACAGGCCTAGAACTCATGTCAGAGGGCTACCCAGCCTAAGCTCTTGGTGCAGTGGGGCCTGGAGAGACTTCCCCCGCTGAGGAACCCTTCTTTCTTGCCACTCCAGTGCTCCAGCCCTGAGGGTGTGGCCCTATCTCAGGTCACTCTGGGAGGATAGGGCTCTTCTCTGGTCCTTGTGTCTGGTATAAGCAAGTATGATTACTGTAGAGAGATGTGAAGTCCCTGAACCCCACGGCAAGGCACACTGCTTGCCTCTCCCCTCATCTCTGGCTGAGCTGGGAGCTGGCAGGGACCCTCCCACCCCTGTCCCTCACCCTGCCCCAGCCGCCAGCAGGTCCTCCAGGGCCAGTGTTCCAATTCCAGAAGACAGAGTGGAGACAGGAAACACAGAGTTTATTCTCTGCCTTCATGCCCTACCCACCATGCCCTCTAAGAGGATGTTCTCTGTGCTGCCCAGAGGGAGGGGGGCTGTCTGGTTGCAGTGTGTGCTGGAGACAGAAATGGCCCCGTCACAGGGCGAGGGGAGGAAGCCTGGTGGCAGGGCTGCATCTGATGAAGCGTCAAGTGTGTCATTACTGCAGAGTGCGAGTAGAGGTCCTGGGGACAGTCTGCTGTTTGATTTCTGTGTATGTAGCTTAGCAACAAAATTGACGTAATCACAGTGGGTCTCAAAGATGACCTCTGGATAATCTGCTATTTAAAAATCATGGCAGACGGTGCTGGCCATGTTCAACCCGAGTGACCTAACACAGACACCAGAAGGCTGGACAAAGCATGAGAACTGGCTGTTTGCAGCTAGCCAAAGAGGAGGACACTGCCACGGGGTCACGGGCGTCCTACAGGGAGGGTCCTGAAGGCTGGCACAGTGGGGACAGAGCAAAGCGTGGCACCTTGGGTCAGGACCAGGTGGAAGGTGACAGAAGCTGGGTGGGTGAGACAGAGGGAAAAGAGCAACAGGCTGAGAGCCCAGAGGTGAGTGGAGGAGCCTTCCGCCTAGACCAGATATCCAGGGAGTATCACAAGTGGGGCAGGGAGTGGCCAGATTGCTGAGGGCCCACGGGCCCCAGGGGAGCGATGCGCTCTAAGCAGAACAGGGCCTCCTTGAACACCCAGGATGTGCAGTGGGGATACCCCAACGACTATTCCCTCTAAATAGGACTAAAATAGCCCTGGAGTGAAGGCTGCTGTAAACCCATCTACCAAAGATAGTGCTGACCTTCCAGAGGCCAGCTACTGTAGAGCAGAGCCCAGCACTCTGTACAGAAGGTAGGAAAACCTGGCACTCAACAATATAGAATGCATAACATATAATCAAAAATTGCTGGTCCTAAACAACTAGAAAATAGGGCTCCAAACCAGAAGAAAAGCCAGCCAGTGTCAGGACACCCAGAGAGAACAGTGGTGGGGAAATGAACAGATGCTGATTCAAAATAGCTCCTGTTGTCAGGCGTGGTGGCACATGCCTGTCATCCCAGCACTCAGGAGGCCGAGGCAGGAGGATCCCTGCAAGTTTGAGGCCAGCCTGGGCTACAAAGTGAGTTTAAGGCCAGCTTGACTGCATAGTGAAGGTGTTTCAATAAAATAAAATAAAGCTACTATGAATATATTTCAGCCACTGGACCTCAAAGGAGAGTTGTGGAAGGTAGAAAAAACAAACATATGGGAAATCTAGACATGAAAAATACATTTCCTGAAATGCTGGGTTAGCGATAGATTAGGGATCGCAGAAGGAAAGACTGATAAAGTTGAAAACACAGAACGCAGAAGAAACCATTGGAACTGGAGCAGAGGGAGGGAAGGCCCGACGCGGGTGAAGGGAGCTCTGCGGAGCTGTGGATGCGGGCTCACCTCTCTGCAGCTGTCTGCGTCTATGCAGAGGGTAGCCCAAAGGACACTCGCAGAAATAATGCGTGGAAATTTCCAAATTCGGTAACAAGGATACACCCCTGAGCCCAGGAATCTCGGTGGAGAATCTCAGAATAAACTCATCAGAAACCTGTCAAATTTGTCTCCATCACATTGCTGATAACCAGCAATGGAAAGAAATCGTGAGCTCTGAGTAAGAAGCCGACCCATGGTCTGCAGAGAATCAGGGTGACTCGGACCCCTCACAGCCGTGGATGCTGACAGCCATGGATCTGCTTTACGGAGGGGCCACCACCCAGGGCTGACCTGCGCCCGGCCTCATCATAGACTTAAGCACAGTGATCCCTGCTCAGACATCTGTGCCCCCTGAGGTCCCATAGCAGGGAACAGTAGCCCTGCTCAGGCCCCGGTCAGGGGAGGTGGGCTGTGTCACTGGACTCGGGGTAGCACCGACCCCTGTGACCAGCTCTCTCGTTGCAGGCTGCCCTTTCCACCCGGGGACCGAGTGACCTTCAATGGGAAGGAATGCGTGTGCCAGAAGTGCTCCCTGCCTATGCAAGCGGGCAGCAGCCCCCATGGGCCACTTGGCCTGCGGAGTAAGTGGGCACTGGGGGGCGGGATTGGGTGGGCACAGGGACAGGGACAGCTGTGATCACATGGCACCAGGGCAAGCATGGTCACTGCTACAGCAAGGTGCACATGAGGAAGGGGCAGGAGCAGATGTGCCCAGTGCTGCCAGGCTGCCCAGCCTTTGCCCCAGCTCGGGCATCTGCTCCCCGCACCACGCCTCCTGCTGGGCCCGCTCTGACCCCTCTCCGGGAAGCCTCGCCTGCTTTCGCTCCCTTCCAGGTCCACACAGCTCCCCTCACCCTTTAGCTCCAGGCCTTCAGAAGGCCTTCAAAAGTCCAGGCCCTGGACTCTGGACCCCTGTGGACAGGCAGAGCTGTCAGGTCCACAGCTCCACCCCGGGGGCTGCCGTGTGCTGTGGGCGCTCAGTACGTGTTTGGGAAGAGGGAGGTGTCACTGTGAAAGAGCAAATGCCAGGGATGCCAGGATTACAGATGGGCAGACCGAGGGCCAGCAGGAGCAGCCAGGAGGTGTCCCCAGCCTGGGGGCTCCTCCAGGGCTGGGAGGGGTGCAGGGCACCCCCAGACCTGCTGCTGCCCGCTGCCCACCGAGGAAGTGCCGTTTTCATAGCCGGCCTGTGCACGTGGCCGCTGTGCCGTCCCCAGGGCAGAGCCACGTGCTGGGGACGGGCGGGGTTGTGGCCCCTTATCATCCCCCAAGGTGCCTTGCTCTCTTCCTCCCCGCTGTGTGGAGACTCTGAGTAGCCCTGTGTCGGCCCCACCCCATGCTGGCCTCCGGGGCTGTTGTCACTGTCACTTTTCTTTACGAATCAAGCAAGCCACACCCTAGGGCAGCAAGCTGGCAGTGGTGCCCAGGCAGCCTGTGGCTTTGAGGCTGCTGGGACAGTCCTGTCCAGGGTGTCGGGGTCCCCTGCTCTCCAGAGGTGCCCCAGACTGCTCTGTTCTGTCTTTGGTGTGGGTCAGTCCAGCCAGATGGGTGAGGGACCCAAGCCTGGGACATGTGCCTGCCCAGCTATGCCGTCCCAGGGAGGCAGCCCAGGGCCCCCAGCCATTGTATCAGGCTTTCCACAGCTGCTCCCTGGGTGTCCCCCGACCTCTGCTCCATCATGGTTCCCAGGGGGTGCCGGGCTGAGATTTTGCTCTCAGGCACTGCCTGATGTCAGATCATAGTCAGTCCTTGTTCCCAAAGGGTGACCTCAGGTCCAACTGAGAACTGGCCCTGCTGTGCTGACCATGTGGTGGCGAGTGGGCGTTACCCCCCTGAGAGCTCTGCCTTGTCCTTGGAGAGCAGCCCACTGGTCCAGACTTGAACCTGTGGACATATCTCCTGAAAGCAGGCTGGACGGTCCTGCAAGGTCACGAGAGGACAATGGCAGGTGGACAGCCAGCCCTGGACACATGGTGCCGCGTAGTGCACAGCACAGGTCACACACGGCTGTGCCTGTGGTTGGCAGTGCCTGCAGGCCACGCCAAGCTCCTGCAGTTTCCATGACACTGTGGTCCTGAGTGATGATCCCACCTGTGTCACAGGAAGGGGGACCGGAAGTGGGGTCACATCACACATCAGGCCCAGGCAGAGGATGTGAGACCTGGCCCCTTTGGGGTGTGCAGGGAGAGTGGGGTGGGCACATGCGGGAGGTGGCAGAGCATGGCGGGCCGAGTCCAGCCAGGTCCCAAAGTAATCACCCTGGCACACATGTATGGAGTCATTCATCTGGGGGTGACCCTGTGACTGTCCCTAACGTGTCCCATTATTGGGGCGCAGAGAAGCCGGCTGGTGATTTGTTCCTGGTCACGCAGCCAGTGGGACAGAGCTGGGTTTGAGCAGCTCCAGGGCCCTGCCTACCTCGTTCTGGGTCACCTGTGCTGTAGTCCCCTGTCCCCTGCGGGCCCATTTGCTGTCCATGTGGAAGCCTGCTGGGCTCAGAGCAGGTGTGCTGTCCCCATGCCGTAGACCCTTGGGGACAGATTTCCTGGGTGGAGTTCTGTCCTAGGCACTGTGCCCCTTGCTCCTTCCTCCCTCAGGAGTCACTTGGCCCTGACCTGTCCTGGTGCTCAGGTCCCCAGCCCCTTTCCCTTAGGGCTGGGACCTGGAGTTAACTCCGTCCCCTCCTATCCAGAGCTGCATAGGCATTTGAACACTGTGATCGTTCAGGAGACTCAGCTTGACCGACAGCTTTGTGGGTGCTTTTGTATTAATTCTTAAAACCAATGGCTCGGTGTCGCCAAGGTGCACAGCAAAGCCATGCACCATGTGGTATCTGCTAAGCTCCTGCCATGTGTCAGTCCCTACTGAGTGCCACAGGCTCTCCCACACGTGTGTGTACACCAAACATACCCAGATGGGCACACCTGCAGAGACACGCAGACACACTCAGATGCACGTGCACAGACTGGCCGGTGCACACGCAGATGTGCACACATCAGCCTCTGTGTGCAGGTACCAGGTCTGCAGGTTCTGTGAGCTCAGGTGAGAAGCGCATGAGCCTCATTGCACATGCACTGAACACGTGAGCCTTTCCCCATCACTGTCTCCTGCGCAGTGCACCACTTAAGCAGCCTGCCCTGAGGTGGGTGCTGAAAGTGAACTGGAAGTGACATAGGCGCCTGGAGGATCTGCAGAGGGTGCCTGCAAACACAGTACTGGCCCAGGAGGACTTGGCATGTGTGGATTTGGGGGCCCTTGGGGGCTCCTGGAATCAAACCCTTGTGGGTCCCTCAGGATGCCTGTGCTCGTGCACACACTCATTGCGTACACATATGCACACTTGCACGCAGACACACATGCACATGCAGTCCACGGAGATCCACGCACACAGCCCCACACACCTGTGCAGCCCACACCTAGGTCCTCGCCCAGCCCTCCCCCGGTGAGGCACCCACTCATCCTCTCCAAGTGACAGTGAGTGGCAGGTTCCCAGGGCGAGGAGCTGGGAGCAGCTGTCTCGGCAGAGCTGGGAGGGGCTGCCCAGGCCCGGGCCCGGGGCCCAGGGGCTGAGCAGGGCAGGCAGTGCCGAAAGGGGAGTGGGCACAGGGAGGGGCTCGGGAGCCCAGCCAGTGTGGCCGCCCCAGGGTGCGGGGTGCTGCTGACTGGGGGGAGGGGGAGTTTAGGCGATAAGGCAGGGCAGTGCTTGGGGCTGTGCCATGTCTAAGCCACCTCTGTCCCCAGAGGCCCCATCAACCACCCCCAGCTCCCAGCCCAGGCGCCCACGGTCTGTGCTCCGTACACACGGGGACCCACATCATCACAACTTTTCCTTGTGTTCCACCCTCTGCCCTGTGACAGGGTCCCTCTGTCCCCATCCCCGGGGCCACGTGGGAGCTCTGTGGGGGCTGCGAACAGCAGGGCAGGTGTGGGTGAGGGTCCACCTGCCCCAGGCCACCCCAAGGCCCCCTGGTGGTGCTCGGCCTGCGGTGCCAGCCAGGCCCTGCATGAAGAGTCTGCATTCTGCTCCTCCCTGCAGGCTGTGGAGGCTGTGGCCTGGAAATCAAGAACGGGCAAGCGCTGGTGGCACTGGAAAAGCACTGGCACCTGGGCTGCTTCAAGTGCGAGACCTGCGGGAAGCAGCTGAGCGCCGAGTACATCAGCAAGTGAGTGTGCCGCGGGCGGGATGTCACCGCGGCCCCCACGCCGCAGGGCGGGCACTGGCCGCTGTCCCCACATGGCACCAGCATGTGGCGCAGCCTGCATCTTCCCCTCCAGCCTGCTCTTCCTCAAGCGGTGTGCAGAAGCTTCCAGTCTTTTTCTGTTGTCCAGGGACAGGGCTCCCCTCTGAGTTTGTGCCCAGTGTCACCTGGACCTTCCTGGTGCCTCTGCCCTGCAGAGTGGAGAGACATCAGCAGATGCCAGCTGGGGTCCTGGGAAATAGGCTGGGGGAGGTCATCTGAGGTGCTGGGGGACCCTCAGGGCTGGCTGTGGCCTTGAGTGTGGCACTGCTCACAGCTAGGAGCCAGGGCAAGGGAAGGAAACTGAGGCAGGCTGCCCCGCAGATGAGAACAGGCCAATGGACCAGCCCCTCTGGGCACATGTTGGTTCCTGCTAGGCTCAGCCCCACAAGACACACAGTCCCGGGCACCCTGGAGAGGGGGAACCAGCTCAAGGGAGTGGAGAGAGACCCTGTGGTACAAGTTCATGGAATAAAGTATGTGTTTGCCCACACGTGCGTGCACACACACAGCATAGAATGAAGCACATGTGCTCACACACACATACACATGCATGCACATGCATGCACGCTGGGCTGTGCTGACATCCAGGTGTAGGGTGTGTCCACGTCCCCCTCCTGGTTGACCCAGCTCTGATTCCTCAGGCACCTGGGTGACTTGGATGGAGGACTGTGATGCCTGCCTGTGTTACTCTGCAGGGACACGTGATCCACAGTGGTCTCAGGGTGAAATATTTTAAGGCAAAGTCCCCACACTGAGGCGCACTCAGGGAGAGTGGGACTGCGGGAAGCCTGAGTCCCTGCAGCGGTCACAGTAGAGCAAGCAGGGAGGGACAGAGGCCGATGCAGGCCGTGGTGCCGAGTGCTGTGAAGGACAGGGGCAGTGCCCAGCCACCAGCAGGCTGCTGTCCCCCGCATGGCACCAGCAGCTCACCCACACATGTTACTTAGCAGACTCCTGAGCAGCCCCAGAACTGAAGGGGAGGGTGCATTGGTGTTGCCATGGAGACATGAGCTTTGCACTCCGAATGTGCTGCGGGTCCACCCATCCATGGGGTGCACTGGGCCTCGGTGGGCAACTCGGAATGTGGGTTGGAAGGGCTGGTTTGCGTCCCTGCTTGCAGGAAGGGCTGTGTGCTCCCTTCTCCAGACTCTGTGTGCTCAGGGATTTGAGCCACAGAGAGCAGCTACAGGGCACAGGCAGCCTGGGCTGTGACCGGGCCAGGGCCCAGCCTTCCCGGTGCTGTAGCTGCAGCACGGGCAGGAGGGCAATGCTGCACTCAGCCTGACCCTGGGCAGCTGGGCATCCTCCCTCCCGTCCTGGATGAGTGACATTGGGAGGCGGCCTGGACGACAGTGCCTAGCCCCTCCCAGTCTCCTCCACTCCTGCCCACTGGGAGCTGTGGCCCGTGGCTGCCAGTAATGACAGCGCCCCTGACCACCAGTGCGGAGCTGCTTGAGCCACCACCTGTCCCGGTAGCCCTCGCTGTCCTTCCCCGGTTACTGGTGTGGGTGGAGGCCAAGGAGTTGCCAGAAGTCATCTTCTGCACTGAGCTGCGCTCTTGGTGGATGGAAGTGGGAACATCCAGAAACTTCTTTCATGTCTCAGATGCGGTGTTTGTTCCCTCTCCTCAGCCCCTGGACAGAGGCCCCAGCCCCTCCATCCCCTGTGGCGGGTGACCTGGCCTCCATGTGCCTCAGTTTCCCTATCTGTGCGGCAGGGTGGTCCTGGGATGGTTCCCTTAGGGCTGGCACCATGAGCACCCTGGGGCCCTACCTAGATGACAGTGCCCTTGGGCCGGGTCCTCATGTGGCCATGCCCATCCTGACCTCCCTCTCGTTGCAGGGAGGGGCTGCCCTACTGTGAGGCTGACTACCACGCCAAGTTTGGGATCCGCTGCAGCAGCTGTGAGAAGTTCATCACGGGGCGCGTGCTGGAGGTGAGGGGCTGGGCCGGGATGAGCCTTCCTCTGAGTGTCCTCTGAGGTGTTCTCCCCGATGCCCTCCCTGCTTGCTCTGTGCTGGGCACAGCAGGTGCCTCCCCACCCAGAAGCCTTTGGGGCTCATTCTGGGTTCAGAGTTGGAGTTGGCTGGGGTGGGGAGTGGGGCGCAGAGCTGGGCCGGTCCTGCCTTTTCTCTCTAGCCTGAGACTCCGGGACGTGGGGTTGGAAGTGAGGCCCAGAGGTGGGGACGGGGCTGCCGACTCCCCCCGGAGGCACAAAGTGCTCCCCTGGCAGGTGGCTGCGCAGAGGTTATTGGGTGGGGAGCTCCAGGTGGCAGGGACACCGGTGTGCTCCTGTGTGACACACATAGGACACATACTTCCATGTGGCCACCTGCCCCCGCTCCTGGGCCAGCCCCTCCTGGCTGGACGGAACGTGGATCTTGGGGACGGGAAGAGGCTGAGTACTGGCCAGGGCACTGTCCTTGCTGTGGGCCTGGGAGTTCCTACCGGGGACAGGGATGAGGCTGCTGGGAGCAAGGGACCAGGAGCCAGAGGCCATCTGCGCAGGCAGGTGCGACAGGGGCTGAGGCAGCTTCACTGGACACGCACAGTGCTGCTGAGTTGCTGTTCCTGAGCTCACACTGGGCCCACAAGGTGGCCCTGGGCGGAGTGCAGGGGCTCCTGGGAACCTGTGCCCAAGCCTGTGCCCGGGGGCGTGGCCTCACTGTCCCAGTTCTGCCTGGGAATGGCCCTGTTCCAAAGAGCTCCACCCTTTAGGGTGAGTCTAGCAGTTCACTCACGGATGGCGGAGAGGCCCATCAGGTGAAAAGCGGCAGGAAAGAAGAAGAAATGCAGGGCCTTACCTCGGAGCTGGGTCCCTCCCTGGCTCCTTCCCACGGGATCATCGTTGGTGTCTGCCATTTACACAGTGCTGTGTCTCGAGTTTTCTCATCCCACTTTCCAGGGCAGAGGGTTCCTGCTCTTACATGGTCCTCGTGAGTAGCTTTCTGTGTGTGGTTTGGGTCTTTGAAGAGGAGCGACCCTTCCAGTGTTCCATTCAGTGGCACCCAGCACCCTCACAGCCATCACCATGGCCAATTTCTGGGCGTTTCCGTCACTGTAGAGAGCCCTGTACCCCTCGGCTGCCTCTTCCTGTGCCCTCGAGACCTCCAACCCTGGATGGACTTCCTGTCTCCTTGGTGTTGATGGCTCCACCCCAGGGCTCTCAGGGTCCACTGCTTCCTCTCACTGGGCGCAGGGTGATGGGTTGTTCCTGGACTGGCATGGCCGGCTGTGGATGGTGGATGTGGTGGCGATTTCCAGCTTCCCATCGCAGTGACAAACACTGCAGCCTCCCCTTTTACACACATTCCGCTTTCTGAATTTACTGAAATGTAGGAGACTGGTCACAGCCAGAAGCATTTCACGGTGCCCTGGAATCACCACGGCAGTGACCACTGCTTTCCAACTTGACGAGTGTGTGTTTCCGGTCACACCCTTGCCAGCAGAGACAGATTAGCCTGCCTTCTGCCCTTAGGGAGGCTGCATCTTTTCTGAGCCTGTCAGCCCTGGACAGTCGGGGTCCTGCCATTGCAGTCACCTTCCCTAAGTTCTGCCTGGTGCGGAGGGAGGGCTTCCCAGCGGTCTGTGAGTGGAGAGCAGAGTCAGGCCGGCCAGGATGCGGGCTTTGCTTTGTGTCTCCCAAACAATTCTCATACGGAGTATCACACCTGGTGCCTGCGTGCACAGACGACCCCTCCTGTCCCCTCCCCCACCACCCTTCCCAGGCCTAGCCTGTCCCCTCCATGTCCCTGTCCTCCCAGGCTGTCTCCTGAGGACCCCCAGGAATCTCATGTCCTGGAAACCCCCCATCTTCAGCTTCCCTTCCTGGCCGGTCTCCCTTCCTCTCACGTCCCCCAGGCACCTGGCACCTCTGCCCTGTGCCTGCACGTTTGCCCCCTGCTGCGTTATCCTCAGAGATGCAAGCAGCTGCAAAGCTCGACCAGGTGTGGGAGTCCCACGGGCCAGGTCACCAAGAGGCCGAGCTGGACAGGAACACAGGCTGGCCCTGCTCTGCTCGTCCTCTGCCAGGGCGCAGCCCGGGTTTGCATCTTGACTTCAGCCCGTGTCCATGTCGTGACCCTTCATAGCTAACATGGATGCAGCTGGCCAGAGGCTGCAGAGGTGGCTGGCCAGTCGGGTGTGGAGAGGCCCAGCTGGGGGGACAGCCTGATGCAGCCCTGGCTACCCCGCTTCCCCCAGGCAGAGCAGGGCTGCATCTGTCCAGGTGCCCAGGGACTCTCAGGGCAGCCTGTGTTGTCCCCAGCCCAGCGTTGCCCCAAGGACCCATGGGAGTGGCTTCTACCTCAGGCCCAGCTGTCCCTCCTTGGTGGCTGCAAGGGCACAGGCACGCCCATGTATACAGTGTGTGTGTCCCTGTCATAACCCTGGGCAAGTACAGAACTGGGGACATGGACCTCTGTGACTGGCCGCCAGTTGCACTTGGGGAAGCCGGAAGGGACCTGGAGCTGGCTGGTGTGGTGGAAGACGTGGGCCTGGTGGGGCAAGCCTGCTCTTGTTCTCTCCTCTTCGGAGGCAGGCGAGTGTGCAGCAGGGCTGAGGCACTGAGAGCTCTGAGCAGCCTCCTGCCACTGCGAGGCGGGAGCCGCGGGCGGAGACAAGCCGGGCTCTGTGGCAGGGAGCCGCCGCCGCCGCCTTGGCACCGCCTGACGCTCGACCAGGCTGCAGGCGCCCAGCTGGTGGCTCTCACGGAGCAGCAGTGGCAGCCAGCGAGCGAGCAATCAGGAAAAGGGAAAGAGCTAGGGTGCTGGCTGAAGAGTGAGGGTGTCCACTCACAGCTGGTGCCCTGAAGGAAGGCTGGCAACCGGACCGGGGTGCCAGGACCCGGGGCAGGTAGGAAGGGGGTACAGGGGGCTCCTGGGGGCAGGCGCAGTGCATGTGACACCCCCAAGGCACCTGTCACTGCTGTGCCTGTCTCCAAACGGCTGTCAGCACCCTGTTGAGACTGAGCCAGGAGCATCCCAGGCCCTGCCGGCAGCTGAGCCCTCATCTGTGCTGTGCCTGCCTGCAGTAGGCACGGTGCCATCTTAGGCACTGGATGCCAGCAGTGCCCGCCCATGAAATGTGCATGTGGTGGTGCTAGGGGTTTCCTTCCCACCCTGCTCCCAGCCCTGGAGCTTGCCGCCTGCTGTTGTCTCTGCGGTCTGTCTTGGGGAGCCCGCTCTGTGTGGGAGGTTGCCGTTGCCCGCCATTAGCTGAGGTGGAGAGCTGGGCATGTGGGGGCAGCAGTGTGGGCAGTGAGGGGCTCCTGACACGTGGCAGAGGCCACCATGGGGCCCGGACTGGAGGAGGGAAGGTTTTCATGGGGTCCAGCTGCGTCTCCACATCTTGCCCCCCTGCAGAGATGGGCACTTCTTTTCAGCCCACCCAACGTCCGAGCCCTGCTCCCAGGTACTGTGTGGGCACCTACGATTGTCTCCATGGCAACAAGAAGCCCAGCATCCCCTGGGACTGTCAATTAATTCCTCGTCCTTTCATTGCTTCCTGTCTTCTTCCATCCCTCGGTCTTGCCCTCCTTTCTCTCCCCATTCACCTCGTAGTCCCTTGCTGTCCTGTCCTGGGCGGGGCTGGGTCATGGGAATGACGGTGACCCACCTGCCTTGAGAATGGTGGCCTCATGGGGACCCGGCGAGAGAGGGGGACACCACAACACTTCTGCATTTCTCCTTCCCAGATGCACATCTCTGGCTCCCGGGCACTTGGCGGGCCTCCTCCTCCTATCACCTCCGTTCTACCTGTCAGCTCTGTGGCTTTGTCATCCGCAGAGACTGAGCTCCGTGTGACCCCCCTTTAACACAAACGTTTGTTCAAAAGACACTCAGAAGGCGTCTTCGTCTGTCACACAGTAAATAGAATCATTAGCAAAAAGCCAGCACCCGAACCACTGAGCACTCGGAAGGCATTTACACTCCGCAAGAAAAGACACAGATGCGTAAACACAGCCCCCGCTCAGCCCTGTGACCCACGGGGCCCCCAGCCCTCTCCCGAGTCTCTGTCCTCACCGACCCAGCTCTGCACAGCTGTGACCCCCGGCCCTGCCTCAGAGTCAGGTGGATAGGACCCTTGATCTTCATGGCGGGTACCCGAGCCTTGAGTGGCCCAGGCCCTCACCACTCCGCTAGATCACTACATCAGAGCCCCTTATTCTTGGCGACCCCATCTGAGTGGCACATGGCCCCTTGGTGGTAAACGCTCTGACCCAGGAGGCGGTGAGGGGCAGGGGGAGGAGCGGGCCTGGCCTTGTGGAGGGGAGGTGTGGAGTTGGGGGTGGTGGCCGCTGCAGGTGTCAGGGTGAAGAGGTCTGGGGGCATTCCCAGGGACACTATTGTCCCCTGCTGTCAGTTCTCTTTTCACGACCCCATTTTGGCCTTGTCCCTTGGTGAGGAGGTCTTTTAAGCTTAAACACTGCTTTGAAAATTCAAAGAGCAGCCTCGGCTCCGACCCACGTGAGCGTTCTAGAGCTGCTGGCCCGGTCGACCCCCATGCTGGGTGCCTAGGAGGACACTGATTAGCAGGAGGCTTGGCCAGGCTCCATATGAAAGTGTGGCTCGAGGGCTTGTGTGGGCCCACGGGCAGATGGGGGGGGGGACCCTGCTGGCCCTGGGAGGAGAGGTCAGGGAGTGCCCTGGGCTCTGGGCTCCACCCGCCTTGCTCTGACCACCTGACATGGTGACCACTATAACTGCTGTAGTGACCATGTGCACCCCATTCGGGGCAGGCACCATATGTGACCCGCTGCCCTGACAGCCCTGTCACCAGCAGCTCTGGTGTGGTCCAGCTGCCACCTGCCCTGGGTGTGGCTCGCAGTGTGGGGAGGGGGGTGGACCCTGATAAACTCTGACATCAGGAGACAGGACCGGAAGGGACCAGATGGAGCACAAGGTGGCAGGAGCCAAGGCCGGGGACAGGGCCAGCAGGACTGGGGATGTGAGTGGGCGGTGTGGATGGGCCCGAGGATGGGCAGAGGCCGTGCGGGATGACATTTTCCCACTGTTTACTTGCTTGGAAACTGCCCATCACAGGTTCAAATCCAGGCGATGAGTGTGACCCATCTTCCATTTTAGGGAAGAATGAAAGACGGGGTTCATACCCACCTTTAGTGGCAGCCTCACCCCACCTTGCCCGAAGGCAGGAACTGCACATTGGGGCCAGTGGATTCTTCTCGCACCTTGCAAAAGCCAGCCAGAGCGGCCCACACCATTTGTGTGGGCTATTTCTGGACAGATGTTTATAATCTAATTTACTGGAGTTTAAGAATTATGAAAATAGAAAAATGCTCAGTGAGCAACATGAAGAATACAAAGATATGGAAAGAAAATCATGTCTCACCCCTGTGCCCCTCAGGCCTCCATCTGCCCCCACTTTCCTGCCTGTGTCCTCCATCCTGGAAACGCAGAGGCCAGAGGTCAGGCCCCCTCCATGCTGTCCATCTCGCCACCCCTGGAGACAGCAGCATGCCTGGCTTCACCCAGGGCTCCTTCTGTGGCCGGGGGCACCCACAGTGTCAGCTCCAAGCAGGGTCTCTGCCTGTGGCTGCCAGGCTCCTGGACACACACCCTGTCCAGCGTCCCCAAGGGCCGGTGTGTGGTGCCTGCATTGGGCACTGGGACGAATACCCCGTCTGTGTCTCTTCCAGGCGGGGGACAAGCACTACCACCCTTCCTGCGCGCTATGCGTCAGGTGTGGCCAGATGTTTGCGGAAGGCGAGGAGATGTACCTGCAAGGTAAAATGCCCCTGACGTGTGGGGTCACTGGCTCACTTTGCCCAGGAGTCGGTGGTGGGTGGGCGGGACTTCCCCACCAAAGGTCCTAAGCCCACACTGCCCGCTGAGGATCCCAGTGAGTCCGGGATGGTGTGGGTAAGGGGCCACCCAGAGCCAGATGTGCTGGTCACGTGGTTCCTTAAGCAAGCACTGCTGCCCTGTGGTCGCTGCCCCCGAGTGCCCTGCCGGAGTTCATCCGCATCCTCCTACTGCTCACGAGACCTTTACCCATGGGACAGCTCTGTTCACAGAGCTCTTCTGTTTCCTAGGACACCCACTCCACATAACCCTGCGACAGGAATGTACTGGGTAGCTTGTGCTAGTGTCCAGGTCACATTTTGGAGGTGGCGTATTCTGTACCCTCACTCTCCATGAGCTGCACCCCATCTTACTTTGCATCACTGTGTGTGGAAGCCTGTAAGGAAAGCAAGCAAGGTGCCTGCTGTTAAGACTCCAGGGAAGGTGTCATCCTGGGGTCCAGACCAGGTCACGGAGGATGACAGTCTGTGGGGAGCCATGACCCAGAGTTGCAGGGGCTGGCAGCAGGGACCAGCAAATGGGTGGGGGATTCCCACTGCAGGCAGGGCCACATCTGGGAACCACAGCATGGCCACAGAGGCCACCAGACACTTAGAGCCTCCAGTATCCAGCACGTGGATTGTCACTGATATCCCCAAGCTTGCAGGTTCTGCTAATTTGGACAGAGATGTCCACAGGCTCACAGGGCATATGACTCAGGCCTGGACAGTCCCCGAAGGAGGCAAGTCGTGGCCACATCAGGAGGGAGGGACAGCGGGGTCCAGGCCCAGAGGCAGGAGGCTCATTGTTCAGCTTGAAGGGGTTGCAGCTGCAGGACAGAAGTGCGGACAGGTGAGGGCAGAGCCTGCACAGGTGGGCATGGCCAGGAAGGACAAGGTGGGCAGCTGGCCCCGCGGGCAGAGAAGGGGCTGGAGGGTGAGGCTGGGGAAGGCAGAGCCCCGGCACCGAGCCGGACCTGGCAGAGTGATTGAGATGAGGCTGGCGTAACTGAGACTTAACCAGCCATAGTCTCTTGGGGTGACTCTTCGGGGGTCCCAGAGGCAGCAGCTGTGGCCACTACGCTGTCCCACACATGGCCTGCTGAGTGACCACACACAGACCCGTCCCAGGTAGTGTCCCACAAGCCTCCCCTTCTGGGAGGAACTGGCAGTGATGCCAGTGGGGCAGCCTCCTCCACTGTGTCACTGTTGTCCCCGCCCGAGTCTGCCGGGGGGCACAGAAAGGCATCTGTGTGCACTCAGCTGTGCGGGGCTGCCCTTCAGGGAGGGCACTGTGAATATGTCCTCAGACAGTGGCGAGGCACAGTTCCAGTGTGACAGCTCTCCAGGCACCAGCTGACGCCCAGGGAGACCTCATCTCGGGCACAGAGAGGTTCCTCACACTCCGAGCTGGGCCCACTGGGCATCAGGCAAACCCTGGCCGTCCCCCTCTGTGCACAGTCAGAGCACATTGGTGGCATCCGAACCCTGCTCTGTGCAGCACAGGCACCTGTGTCCGGGGCCCTCTGAGGAGCAGGTGTTCCTGAGACCCCTGCTTGGGCTCCCTGGGTGTGGGTCTCCACGGAGATGCTAATGGGGGAATCACCACAGCCAGAGCTTGGGCAAGGCTGAGTTCCCAGGACCCCCACAGCCTCCAGGTCACCCCAAAACCTCCCCTGTTCCTGCAGGAGACTTGGGGTAAACACAGGGCCAGGGAGGCTGGGCCTCACTGGTTATCAAGGAGCCCACCGGCCTGGGCAGCACAGTGAGATGCTGTCTCAAAATAAAATACAAGAAGAGTGGAGACGGTGCTCAGGCCCGAGACATGAGGGGAGGTCAGTGGAGGGACTCCTCCCCGATGTGGAGGGCCACATGGGCAGCCGAGGCAGTGTACTGCGTGCCGGGGCATCGAGGCTCAGGCTGGAGGGGAGGCAGGGATGCTGCAGCCCGCAGCTGCACCCCAGGACTGCATGATCAAGACACAGGACACTGAGCAGAAGCTGCAGGTGTGAGCTCTGGAGAGCGCCTGGGTGCCGTGGGTCCTTAGCACCCGGAGGGCACCCGGAGGGCACCCAGAGGGCACCCGGAGCGCAGGTCAGGGAGGGCGACTTGGGATTGTTTAGTTTGCTTTTCTAGGTCTCTGTACTTCCGACCACATAACCCTGAAGAATTTAAAACAGTGTTACACACACACACACACACACACACACACACACACAGAGTCTCTGGGAGCCCTGGGGATGCAGACATTTCGGGGTGAGGGAGTCATCACCTTCCATTCTGAAGGAGGCTCGAGTTCCTGGGTGCTCTAATAGGGAGGGGTGTGGGGCGCCTTCCTCAGCCTCCCCATGTCAGCCCTGCAGGGCCAGTGTGTGTGTTTTAGAAGTGGGATGTGGAATTTGGGGGACAGGGCAGCTATCTTGCCAGCTTTGGGGGTGCAAGGAGAACCGCGCCAGCCCAGCCGGGGAGCAGGAAGTTGTGGTTACAGCGGGGTCAGGACAGCAGTCTCCTAGCCCCAAACCCATGTTGTCCTCCAAGGACCTGAGGGGTACAGTGGTCTCTACAACTCAGTGTTGGGGTCGCCAGTGTCCGAACAGCCCGAGGCGCAGTCGGGGAAGAGCAGGGGGTAGTGCTGGGGCACCTGGCAGCCTTGTTGTGCTGCTAGTCCTGTCTGCTGACTCACAGGCAAGGAGGCTGTGGCAGGGCAGCCTCCTAGACCTAGTGGGTTAACCACAGGGTGGCAGAAGCTGGGGCTGGTGCACTCCCCAATCTGCCAGGAAGCTGCATCATACAGGGGCTCTGGTGCCTGAGGCTGACAGCCACTTGGCTGGGGCCACTGTTCCCATGGATGGGCCTGGCCAGCAGGCAGCTGAGTCCACCATGGAGGGCACAGTGCCTGATGCTCAGGACCTCTGCTTCCTCCCGGGCAGGGGTGCACCTGCCCTATCGTCCATGTGCCTGAGGCCGCTACAGGTCTGGCGGGGTGGGCAGTGTCCCCACGCAGCCCGCAGGCTCCTGACTGCTGAGGGACTTGCACTGACCACCTCCTCTTGGCACCCCACCCACAGGCTCTACCATCTGGCACCCAGCATGTCGACAGGCGGCCAGAACTGAGGACAAGAGCAAGGTGGGTGGCGTCTCCAGGTCCCCCTACTCTTGGCCCGTGCACCACCCTCCGAACTGTGATGCCAGGGTTCCGGCTCTGGCCCTACTGGCCTCAGGGCACACGAGTGAGTGGCTGTGGAAGTTTGGGGACAGCTCCACAGTCAGAGGCCCCAAATAGTCCTAGATCCCCTCTGATGCTACCAAGCCATCGTCAGTTCGCTGACTGCTAGAAGGCCCTGCCCCCGCCAGAAGCTGGTGTGCTTGTGGGTGACAGTGTACGACAGGGAAGGACACAGAAAGGGCCACGTGTGGCAGGTCTAGGCGTCCAGACCCTCCTCATCCTTTCCCCGCAGGGTCGGGTCGGTCGCCTCCCTCATATCCATGTGGCAGTGTACCAGGTCTTCCTGGGCTCCCTGACCCTAAACAAGATGCTTGGTGGCACGCACTTGTCAGCCCGGCAGTCTGGAGGCTGAGGCAGGAAGATCAAAGGACAGAGCCCAGCCTGGAAACCTGGGCATACAGCCGAGTGGAAATCTTGTGTTCAATCCCAGTACCGCCAAAAAAAAAAAAAATTTCCTTGTCACGCTGGACAGAGACGGCTCCCCTGGCCTCCCAGAAATCGAAGGCCAAGGCCAGCTCCTCCTTGGTATAACCAGGTTTTCACTGCCCATGTGGGCGTGGGAGGGGTGGCTGTGACCAGTGCCAGTGAGGAGCTGTGCCCTCCAGAGCTGGCGTCCAGGGCAGAGACTGGATCACCCCCTCCACAGCCAGCAGCAGGCACAGTGGCAGCACCAGGGCAACCACAGCCTCACAGGGAGAGATCACCTGGAGGGCCACTTCTAGGTGACACCCAGGCCAGCTCCAAGGAGGAGGGACAGAGCTGAAGGGGGAAGGGAGGAGCGGGGCTGCCACTCCTGCAAAGGCCCTGAGGTCAGCCCCTTGCTGCTCCCTCCTCCACACTCTGGCTCCCAGAAACCCCACTGTGGGGTCCTGGCTAGGGATGAAGGAAGGAGCCAGGCTGGAGGGCGGACAGTAGTGCCCGGGACGCAAGGGCCCTGAGGACAGGCGTGTGGTGGCACTCACGATGTCCTCAGGGTGGCCACCTGGTCCGAGATTCAGTCTGCAAACTGCAGCTCCACTGCGGGGCTCCTCCCAGAGATGTGTGGTGACGCTGTGGCTGAGGGCTCATTCTGAGTTGTCCCAAAGGCCAGCAGAGGTCTGTGGAGGCACCTGGGGAGGGACTCGCTGTGGGACCCAAACGCTCACACACATGTATGTACAGGGACATCCTGTGTCCTAAGTGTGGCCAGAACTGGGGGAGGGTGACCCAGGGCCACAGCCAGCTCCCTCAGAGACAGACAGGGCAGCCCTGCTGTACACACCTGGGCCGGGCTGCAGGAAGCACCTGAGCAACCCTTGCTGGCCTTGAGGATGCTGGGCAGCCAGGGAGCCTCTAGGGCTGGATGCGCAGGACAGAGGCCCTCGCCCTGACCTGAGCAGGTGGCCTGGCCCGGCGGCGCCACAGCTGACCTGGCTCCCGCATGGCTTGCTCTCTGCCCAGCTGGTGGAGGGGAACGGGCCACCCTACTCCTAGACAGCTGCCTGAGACCAGCCGGGCAGGCCCGAGAAGTACACCACAGAGGTGGTACACGTGTCACCAGCCCTCTTGAAGCTGCAGCCGAGGCAGAGATAGCTCCACTGCCACAGTGAGAAATGAGTCACCTGTGGGCCTCAGCAGCTGCTGTAACAAGTGTCCCCCCTTGCTGGCCTCAGGTGGCTCCAAGACCCTGAAGGAGCCGCCTGTACCCTGCTGTGGCTTGCTTTCCAGCAGGCATGGCTCCCACTGCAAGGACGGGGCACCCAGAGGTGGAAATGGAAGCTCTCTGTGTCCTGGCGGAGTAGCCGAGGCCAGGGTGGTCTCGTGGGCGTCACCCTGTGCCTCCTCTCTCCTTAGGTGCAGAGTCCCCGGTGTGGCCAGGCCTGCGTTGGCTCTGTGCCCTGTGCCTTACAGGTTGGTGCCCCGCTGCCTGCCGTGTGCTGTGTCTGGCCCCACGTCCATTTGTCCTGCTGGTGTTGAGCTGAGCATAGGACGAGCGACAGGGACAAAGACCTGAAGCCAGGGCTTCAACAGCAGAGACACCTGTCTCCCACTGCAGGCTGAGGTCCAGGGCCCTGTGGGCAGGGTGTCCCCCTCTTCTGAGCTTACAGATAGCATCTTCTCTGTGTCATCCCTCTGTGTGTCTGTCCCAAACTCATCCTTTTTAAAAAATGTTTTTGGTATTTTGAGATAGGGTCTCCCTGCATAGCCCAGAATGACCTCAAACTCAGCATTTCTCCTGCCTCAGCCTCCTGCGTGGTGGGATTACAGGTGGGCACCACCACGCCCACAGGCTCTCCTCCTCCTTCCCCAAGGTCTCCAGTCAGATGGAAGGAGGCCCATCCTGGTGGCCTCATGATCCTGGTGACCTCTGTCACCTGTCTCAGGCCACTGAGGTCCTGGGTCAGAGCTGGGAGCATCCATCTCAGCCCCTGGCAGGTGGGGTCACCAGCACCCTCTGCAGGGGGGACACTGAGGCTGACGGGGTGGAATTCTGGGCAGGGGCAGGGGCAATGGCCATGAGTCAGTGGACATCCAGCAGAGGGCCTGGGGCTGCTGGTCAGGAGAGGTACGAGGTCTTGGGGCGACTCTCAATACAGATGGGTCTCCACAGATGGATGAGGAGCCTGGGCCCCAGGTGACACAGTGGGGGCAGGGACGGGGAGGGACTTCGGGAAATGGCCAAGCTCAGGGTGTTGGGCAGGCACGGGGAGGGTCGGGAGGCCCAGACAGCAGGGGCATCTCCAAGAGGGATGGGGCAGGGCATGGGCCTGGGCACGGGCCTGAGCACAGGCAGCCACACCAGGATCAGGTGGAGACTGAAGGTAGGGTGGCCACAGTGCCCAGTGGGGCATCCCGACCACTGATGACCGGCAAGTCTCCTGTGAGGCCTGGGTTTGGGGGGGCAGCGTCCTGCTTCACCTCAGGTTCAGGTGGGAAGGGGCACCCATGTCACTGAGCCCACACAGCTACGTGATGGCACAGCCGGCCCTCCCCCAAGATCCAGAGCCCGCTTTAGGCTGCTCTGGGGCTTCAGGCTTTTCCCAGCAGCGCCGGCATGGCCACATTGCCTGTGGCCTCAGGGTGTTGCCTCATAGACCTCTGTGCTACGCTATTATGGGTCCTTTTGCCTGTGTACCTCCTAGGCTGGCATGGCGGCAGCACAGACATCCCCTGCCTCAGCCTCCCCATCTCTGTTCCAGGAAACCAGGACGTCCTCCGAGAGCATCATTTCCGTCCCGGCTTCCAGCACATCCGGGTCTCCGAGCCGCGTGATCTACGTAAGTGGGGCAGCGGGGTGTGGCCGGCCCTGTCCTCTCCACCTTGGGGCTGGCTGACTCAGAGTCCGGGAATGTGGGCATACTTGTCTGACCCTGTTGGGACCCTGGGCGCTCATCCCAGCAGTCCGGTGACACAGCTGTTGATACGCATGAGGAACAGCGTCAGCTTCGGGCTGGTGCAGTCCTGCTGGCGCACACCACGAAGGCTGCCTGCAGAGGACATTGTGTGTGTGTGCGTATGTGCAGGTATGGAAATGATCAGAAACATCGTAACGGATGGTAAGCAGTGGTTTCCTGTGTGCTTAGGATCCAAGGTGGGGTTCTTTTGGCCAGCTGTGCTGCTGTAAGAGCTGAAATTTGCTTCCTGGTACCACAGTGTCTTAGTTACTTTTTACTCCTGGCTGAGACAAAATACCTTGGCCCAAGTCGGGAAAGGAAAGGCTTATTTCTTACAGTTTTTGGAGGTTTTAGTCCACACTGAGTTGGCTCCAAGGCAGGCGGGCATGGCTGGGCCACAGTTCATGGTGGCTGCAAACAGCAAACAGGAACCAACAAAGAGCAAGACACACCTTCTTCCTGCCATTACATCACATCCTGGCTCCACCCCAACGTGGGTGGAGCACTGACACCATCAATCCAAGCACTAATCACAAATGCACAATGCAAACTCATGAAGCCTGGGGGCCACACACATAAACCATGACTCGAGGCACGGGGTGAGGGTTGGCACACTGGGCAGGAAGCCAGGTGACGATGAGTTGCTCCTGCTGCCCCGCTCAGGCCAGGACCTCTGGTTGCTGCACCACAGTGGGGATTAGATCCACCTGCGTCTGTGCGCGCTGTCAGCCCATTGTGCTGCCCAGCAGCTGGACACAGGGCCACTGCAGACCCTCGGTGTCATCGGCGAGGCCCTCTGTCCTGTGGGTCCAGTGCCTGTGCCTGGTCACTTGCCGAGAGTGGTGGCCCCATGGCCCTTAGGAGTTGCCTGCTCCGAGGCCCCACCTGCCGTGTGAGGCTGTCCAGTGGCTTGTGACACTGGATGAGGTGTCTCCCCTCTGACCCCTGGGAACCCCTGAAACCTGCCCAGGGCTCGTCGAGGCTGAGCTGGAAGTACCGCTGACGTATTACTCTGGGGACACCAGTCCTCAGAGTTACCACAGCAGAGACCCCAGGTGGGGGCTGAAACAGAAGGGATGACTGTCTCACGTGGGGGGCCAGAATTCCTGGACCAAGGTGTCACGGGCCAGCTCCTCCGAGGGTGATGCCCTAGCTCAAAGACGATGCTTCTCCCTGTGTCCTCTGTGCCCGTGTCCTGGTTCCCTCTCACAAGGACATTAGTGGAACCGCTGTGTGAACCTCACAGCACCTTTACAACCTCCTTAAAGGCCAGATTCCTGGGCCAGGCACTTCCCAAGGCCCTGGGAGTGGGAGTCACGCTGTGAATTTGGGGGACACAGTGCAGTGGTGGCCCACTGTCATCATCAGGAGTGGCAGCCGCGGCTGGTGGCGCTTACATAAGGCCTCAGCTGCAATGGGGCCGGCTCAGAAGGCCTCCGGGAGGGGAGGTGGCCCTGCTGCCGTGGATGGGGACTGTACTGCACGAGGCTCTTTTTCAAAGCAAGCTGGACCCGGGCATGGGAGTGCGTTCCTGCAGGCCCAGCGCCCTAGGAGGCGGAGGCAGGGAGACTGCAAGTGCAGGCCTGGCGTAAGCATTTGCCAACTCATCACGATTTTTTAAAATTTCTTTTAACGATCTGGGGACACAGATCAGTGCAAAGCCCTGAGATAAATAACTACATAAATAAATGATTAAAAAAAACCCTGGGCTTCACAAGTGGCCTGCGCACTGTGGAACTATGGAACCTGTGGGGACCACACAGCCATGCAGCGAGCAGTGACAGTCACCTTCACAGTCCTGACCGGCTTTCAGGGCCGAGTGGCAGAGCGGCAGAGTGGGGCCGCAGAGGCAACTTTCCGTGACCCCAAAACCTGGGCTCCCTACAGAGAAGCATGGTCAGGGCCTTCACCTCCACCAGGCAGTCGCTAGCGTAGCCCAGTGCCGAGCCCCACACTGGCCCTGGGGACCCAGCTGTACTGGGTCTGCACAGTGACCACAGGACATTGGGAAAGTGGTGGTGAGGACACCCCACTTCTGGGTGAGCTGGTCGAGCTGTATCTCAGCATGATGGCTCCCGCCCAACAGAGAGACCTGCAGCCAATTCCAGTTTTAAACAAACTCCAACAAATCCCAAGAGCCCAGCACCCAGAGCCTGAAAAGCTAGTTCTGTGGTCCACCCGTAGAGAGCACATGGCCCCGGGCAGTGCCACACCGCCTTCTCCAGCCTGAGGGCCATCGGGTGTGGGCGTCCAGGGTGGCAGAGAGGTATCACATCGCTGCGGAACAGGGAGCTGCCTGCCAGCACCCCCATGTCCTCCCAGCTGTGTCTGCTCGGGGTGGCACCGTGCCCCCGTGGGTCCTTCACCATGAGGGTGTAATCTGAGGGATACGCCTGCTCCACACTGGGCTGCTGTTGACCTGCTGTGCACCTGGCCGGGGTTCAGTGCTGGGCACCACTCACCGCAGTCCCTGCCCCGTACCTGTCTACTGCTTCTCACCAGCAGCTCCCTGCTGTCCCCAGGCCGGAGGGCAGCTCCCCCAGGGCTGTGTGCATGGGAGGGGAACAGTGCCCCTGGAGCTGCTATGTCTTTCACCAAGGACGGAGTTCCTGGGGGCGCCCCTGTTGGTGCTAATATGGAGGGTCAGACATGCACACAACAGGGGCTCAATAAATTGGAGAGCTTAACAAACTTTTTTTTTCTTTTCTTTTTTGCGGTCCTGGGGATTGAAGCCAGGGCTTTTGCACAGAGCAACATCCCCAGTCTTCTTTTGTTTTTTTCTTCTCTAACATGCCCAGGCTAGGCTCAAATTTGAAATCTTCCTGCCTCAGCTTCCCAGACAGCTGGGATTACAGATGTGTGCCACCAGGCCCACAAAATAATCCGTCTTACTGCCTTTTAAAATTATAAAAACAGTTCATGTTTATTCTTATTTTTTGTTTGTTTGTTTCCTTTTTATCGGTACCGGGGACCGAACTCACGACTGCCTGCTTTATAAGGCAGGCGCTTATGCCGCTGAGCCAAATCCCCAGCCCCTTCATGTTTATTCTTAATAAACATGGCGGTCCGCACAGGGAAGGAATGAGTGCTGCTTATTGCACAAAGGAGGAAAGGACACAGCTTGTTCCCCCCACTCAGCAGAGGCCGCTGCTGGCTGGCGAGGGGAGCACACCCCGCACCTCCCCTTTCTTTAGGCACAATTTGTTAGCAGTACAGGGTCCGCTGAACACAGTGCTTCTGGACCTTTCTGTGGCCACAGACAGTGAAAGAGCAGAGCTGTTTAGGCGCTGCAGCTGAGAGCCAGTGTGCTCCGCTGATTCTTTTGTTGCCTGAAGCGCTTGTGTATACCCAACTGTAGTAACCTTCCCTCCGCCAGTTAGCACAGTGCATTGTCTAGGCAGCCACCCAAGGAGGTGGATCAAATGACCTTAAGGCTGCTCGGGGCAGCTGCTGGCCACCAGCATCCCACCGGTGCCTGCTCAGGTCCCTGCCACATGGAGAGGTGTGAGGGACAGGGACTCCCCAGGGCTGGGCTTCACTGAAAAAGCAGGGGGCAAGGGAGGGGGTGTGTGTGCAGTGCTGGCATCTGACACAGCAAGGAAGTGGGTACAGAGCCTCAGCACAGTGCCCCCTTTCTGCAGGAAAAGCCCAGAGAGCACCCCAGCTTCTCACACTGCTGGCCTGGTTTCGATTCGGTTTGTCACAGTGCCCCGAGCACCTGGGCTCTGCTAGGCTGAGGGTGGAGAGAAGGACTCAGTGACAAATCACAGAGGGTCTGGGACTCCACTAGCATAGCCAGGAACTGGGGGAGGACGTGGGCAGCAGACAGAGGTCAGCCCCTTGGCCAACAGAGAGATCCTGGGTAGGTGGGGGTGGGAAAGCAGGGAGAGGGTCCTGGAGGCAGGGCTCGCCTGCATCCACGAGGACTCTGGGTGCCGCAGCCCACAGGAGGTGAGCAGCGGGGACCGGGGAGGCCAGGAGCAGACCCCATGGCCGGATTCAGGTTCCCCGGGCACAGAGGGAGCCTGGGAATTCCTGGCAGGAGCCCAACCATCGTGCTGCCAACGCTGGCACCAAATTTGACCTCAGGCTCCAAGACGAACCTGTGGGCCTGAGAGGGGGGCCTGTGCACAGTGGGCTCTGGCCCTCAGTCCCAGAGGGGACTTCCTGGAGGAGGGGACTTCCTGGGGGGGCTTCCTGGAGGAGGCAGCTTGGCTGCTGTCCCCAGGGAGTTCTAGAGTGGGGCTGAGCCTGGTTCACTGCGGCCACAGGGAGGAGACACCTTAGGTGAATGTGGGGACCAAGTGGAGGGGCTGCCTGGGAGGCCGGGCTGGAACCCCTGTGATACAGCTGCAGTTTGGGGGCATCGTGGCTGCAGGGCCCATGGAGGAGAGGCCATGAAAGAATCTCCATGTGGCAGAGGCAGAGAGAGCCCAGCCAGGAGCTCAGGCCAGGCAGCAGAGCAGGCGTGACCGAACAGTGGGGAGACAGTGGAGGGGACCAGACAGGACCCAGGGCAAAAAGCAGCTCCAGCCAGGTGGACCTCGCCTGAGCAAACGCAGTGGCCCAGACTCGCAGTCAGGAAGGCTGAGGGAGGCTGCATGGCCAGGTGTGGGCTGAGTCCAGGACACACCCGAGGTCTGGCCTGTCCCCCTAGTGTCCCAGAACCCTGAGGCCGGGCCTCTCACTGTGTATTATATGTGTGCAAATGTGCTATGTGCGTGTATGTGTACAAGCATGTGGATATGTGTGAGTATAGTGGTGAGGGGATTGTGTGTACTACTGTGTGTGTAGGTGCACCGAAGTTGGTAGATGTACAAGTAGAGAGTGTGTTTAAGTGTGTACAAGCAAATATGTGGGCAGTGGTTGGATCTAATGTGTGCATTGCACAGATGTGTGCTAGTGAGGGAGTGTCGTAAGTGCCTTCCGTGATCTTAGACAGGTGTGTTCATACTCACAAATGGGTGTGTGGTATGAAGACATGCAGTGTATTTGTGTGTATGCAGCCATGCACATGGTGTATGCACACATTGCACTTACATGCACACAGACATGCAAGCGTGCATACACATTTCTATGAGCACATATGTATTTGCACATGCACAACTGATATGTGTGTATCTGCATGTTTATATTAGGCCTGTGTGCACAGGTGTGTGCATGTGTGTGATTGTATAGGTGTGTGTATACACATGTGGGTATACAAGCTTTTGTATTTGCATCCATGCATATGCGTCTACTCGTGTATATTTATGTGCATATCCAGGATGCACACGTGCATGTGTACATTTTTATGTGTGCCTGTGCACACGTATATTTTGTTATGTGCAGACATCCATGACAGTGTGTGAATGTGTGCACATGCATAGGTGTTGCACACATTGTGTTTGCACATTCATACATGTGTCTGTGTTTGTGCTGTTTATATGTACCTCTGTGTATTATTTGTGTGTGGGTATATCTGTTTTTGTTCATACATATGCACACCTGTGTGTTTGTGTATCTGCTCATGAGTTACATGCACTGTTTATTCGCATGCCTGGACACATGTACAGGTGTATACGTGTATAGGCATGCACGTGTGTGTACTTGTATGTGTATGCACACGTATGTGTGTTTAGGACACAGTGTGAGTCTCATACCACCAGGTGCCGGAGCTGGCTGTGCTGTGATTTTCCGCACTCTGTGGGGAAGGAGGCCGAGGCCTGGAGTGGGCACATGCTTGAAGCCACAAGGCCCCAGTGCCTGGCACTTGGGTCTGCTTCGGGCCTGACCCGAGTCTCCGAGCTCTGCCAGCTGGTCCTGCCCTCAGGTGCTGAGGGACCAACTTGTTACAGCCCCATGACGCCAGCTGTGCCCCTCACTCCTGGGTGAAGCAGCCACTGCCCTCGGGGACCCAGGCCCATCCTGCCCTCCGCTGTTTACCCTTAGGCCAAGCTCGGCGATGAGATTCTGGACTACAGGGACCTGGCAGCGCTCCCCAAAAACAAGGCAATCTACAACATCGACCGTCCCGACATGATCTCCTACTCGCCCTACATCAGCCACTCTACTGGGGACCGGCAGAGCTACAGCGAGGTACGCCCTGCCCTGTGGGGTGCACAGGCCCTCAGGCTGCCCCTGCGGACACCACCAAGTCCAGCCCCTGGCTCCCTATGCTTCACTATCCTGCAGCCAACCTGCCACCCTTGAGTAAAAAATCCCCAGTGCTGTCCACCCATGGCCTCACCCTGGCCCCGGAGCAGGAAGTCGGGGAAAAGGCCAAGAACTTCCAGACCCCCCAAGAGAGCGCCTCAGCCATGCACAGGCGCACCACTGTCCTTCACCCAGGCACCCTGGTCACGCTGGGTCCTTGCCCCCCACTTGCTCCCTGTCCTGTGATTCCTCGAGCTGCTTCCTGGCCTGATTGTGCCACCAATGGCCACTACCTCCCGACGTCCCCGTGGACGGTGCCCTTTGTCATTTGAGACTTTGCTCTTCCATTTCTAGCTGCCCGGGATAAGAGGGTTTGGTTCTGCCCCAGGGAGGGAGAAGCTTCCCTGGCTGCCTGGGGACTGGTGTCCTCTCCCCCAGCTCTGGCCCAACCCCAGATAGTGCTGGATTCCAGGCCCCCCTGTCCTCTGGCTCCTCACTGTGCCAAGGCCACAGCTCTGCATGTGACAGGCAGTGTCTGCTGGGGAGGCTGGCAGGCTCCGATGCAGTCCCGAGGCTCCCAGCAGCCTTTCTGTAGCCTGAGAGCTGAGAGATGAGGAGATCCCAGTGGGCTACACTGTGCCCTGAGCCCCTAGTGGTCTCCATGGAAGGGAAGGTGGGGACATTGCCTGGGGCCGTCCTTCCCAGCACCTTGACCACTGTCTCTGACAACCAGCCTGCAGCCTGGCCTGGGTCCCTCCTCCTCCTGTGGGGCCCCTGTCTGGGTCTCAGGGCCGTTGGGTGAACGCCGGCCCCGTGTGGCCTGCTGGTCACCAGAGGCATCCTGTAGTTAGTGCCAGGCACTAACAGGCCACTCTGTGTTGTGTTCACAGTCACCTCAGTTGCTCTCGCCAACACCGACCGAGGTAACCCCGCTCGCCGCGTGCTTGTCCTGTCCGTGCTGCCCCTTTGTGAGGATGACCGATGCCAGAAAGGGCCTTGGGTCCTGGCCCCCGCCAGGGGCTGTGACGCCTTCTTCACATTGGTTATTTCTGTAGTTGTGTCTCATCTGCATGTCCCCTGGTCTGCAGCTCTGCCATCACAGTCATGTGGGCCCGTCCCCCAAACGGGTGGCAGTCTGTTGTGGCGTCCCTGGGCTGGCTCAAGTCTGCTCAGTGTCCCACAGCAGGACAGGTGGATGGCACTTGGGCCTTGAGAACACAGCACTCTGAAAGTGTCTACCAGGCTGCCCTGTCACCTGCAGGAATTAGCAGTCCTGGTGGCTGCATGTGGACTCAGGTAGCTGCAGGCCCAGGATGGCATAGTGGTCAGGAATAAAGGACAGTGTCCATGGGACTCTGCCCCAGTTACCAATGGAGAAACCAAGGCACAGGGAAGTCAAATAACTTTCTCAGGGTCAGGAGCTACAGGAAGAGACAGGAGGGCTCCCTGGCCCCTCATTCTAGACCACCTGCCCCAGGAGCTGGCCACTGGTGGTGTCACCATGGGCACTCTGTAAATGGCCAGAGCTGAGTGGCCTGTGACCTGCCTCAGCACCTGCAGGGGACTCTCCAGGAGTGATGTCGGCTGCACGCACCCAGGCTTCTGGGTCTCCTGAGGCCGAGTCTCATTGCAAAGCCCCTCTCAGGTGGCACCCCAAGTGGCAGGCCACACCCAGCGCTCAGTGGGAAGCTGCCCAGCCTGAGGGGGTCCCTGTGGCCCGGGCCCTAGGCCACCCTGGCTGGGCCCCTGTGCTAGGGTTAGGTCAGGGCCATCCCTCGCTTCTAATAGCTTTGGAGAACCAGAAACTTCTGCAGGACCTCTCTGGTCCCCTTAGAAACAGCCCCCGGCGGCTTGGAAGGAACAGGCACCAGGATGACCCTGCTGCTGCTGGGCAGCCAGGAAGGGCCAGCCTTGCCTAGACACCTTGGACCAGGCAGCCAAGCAGACGGGCAGGTGGCCAGCTCAGACCGGGCTTCTCAGCTCATGTCAGCCAGTGGCCCTGAGTCCAGGCTGGCAGACGGGACACCTCTAAGGTGCACTCCAAGTGGTTGAGCTGTCCAGAGGGTGCCCAGAGTGGAGGGGGACAGCCGGGGACAGCTGCCTAGGCTGGAGGGGAACAGATGCCTTAGGGAGGACAGGCAGGAAGGATCCCCGAGGAGGGCTGCAGGAGGATGTGGCTGGCTGTGGGCCCAGAGGCCTCTCTCTTGTTGAAGATCAGATTGGAGAGGCGGGGCAGTAGTGAGGGCCAGAGCAGACCTTGCTCATGCCCAGTGGAGCAAAGCAGTGGCAGCCACCCTCCACGGGAGCCAGGCTAGGCTGAATGACCCAGGTCACCGAGCCACACTGCAGAGGGCAGCCAGCCTGTGGCCCGCTCCAGGTGCCATCTCGTGCCACTGCTGTGACTGCTGTGTGAAGCGCCCCCTCCTGCTTGGGCAGGGCTGTGTTTTGTGCTTGCAGGGCTCCTTCTTCTGGGCTTCTGGACCCAAGAGGAGCAGCTTCCACCCTCCAATGGTGGCTCCCGAATACACACCGGGGAGTCCCCCTGGGGTGGGAACATCTCAGTGGTTCTCATAATGTGGATCTCATAAGGATCCCTCGGTGACAGGGAGGGTTGGGCAGGGGGGCAAAGTCCCAGCCCACAAGACTGGCAGACAAGGGCAGGGATGGGTGCCACTGAACACAGGGCCACACTCAGCACCGACACCTGCCCACCTGGCTCCTCCGGTGCTCCCAGGCAGGTGCCGGAGATTCTGTTTTAGGGCCAGGCTGAGGTGAGGGGCAGGCAGGAGTGGGCAGTGCCCAGGATGCCAGTGTTCACCAGCAGTGTCTTCCCTCCCAGGGGGATCAGGACGACCGGTCCTACAAGCAGTGCCGGACCTCCAGCCCCAGCTCCACTGGCTCTGTCAGCCTCGGGCGCTACACCCCGACCTCGAGGTCACCCCAGCACTACAGCCGTCCAGGTACTCAGCCCTCTGGTCCCTTGGGCCCTGGGTGAAGCTGGACTTCTCACTTTGCTCTTCTCAAGTGACCTCCATGTACAGCGAGAATTATGGTGGGGTGGGACCGCCCGTGGAGGGTGACAGAAAGTCCTTGTTAGTGAGGAGAAGGCTTAAAGCAGCTAAGGCTAGAGGACCCACGCACCCTGACAGGGGCATCTCAGGACGCTCCCCGTGAGCCCTGAGTGCTAAGCCTACGTGTCAGGTGCAGAAGATGTCAGGGAGCTGAAGTGCAAAGGCTGGGGGGAGCCGTCTCCAGGGGCAATGCGGATTCAGAGGAGAAACCAGCAGCTCCCCAGCGGAGCCCGAATGTCTGTAACACTTCACCCAGAGACACTGTCCCCGCCAGGCTAGCCCAGCCTGTGTCACCTCCCCGCTTTCCTGCTGTGCACTGTTCCCCAACAGCTGCGAAGCTCCGCGCCAGAGCCCGGCAGGGTCTCAGGGACCGCGCCCACAGGCACTGCCTTCTCAGTGACTTTTCGAGGCAGCTCCTTCCTGGCCGGCTACACATGACCCGTCCACATTCATTGGCTATAGCGCGCATTCTCAGTTTGAGGGAAAATCAAACCCATTCATTTGCAAAGTCATTTCATTGACTCCTTGCATGCATGTTGTATGGCTTGCTCAGTAAGGGTTGAGAGAGTGGGTGGGTGAATGAGTGAGGGAACAAATGAATGAGAGCATGGATGGATTAATGGATGAGTTGTGAATGAATGAGTGAACTGTGAATGAGGAGCGGATGAATGAGCAGCTGCGTGCAGAAGCAGGTGGGCCGGCGAGGGGATGGCAGCGCTGACTCCCCAGCCCTTCTCCTGAGGCCCCGCTGCTGCTGCCCTGGCCCCGTGTCACAGGAAGGCACCTGCTGACTTCTGAGCCCAGCACTAAGCCTCAGAGCCAGGACCATGTCCTGGCTAGTGTAGCCCATGAACATATTGGGGCAGACGTCTTTCCAGGGCCTTGACCCCAAGGGGCACCCTCAGAGAGGAGCGCCAGAGTCTGGCAACTCTGGGTCTACCATCTGGTCCTCCTGAGGGTGGGTCACCCATACCTGCAAGGCATGGTCCAGAGCCTACTTGGGGATCCCCTGGGTGCCCCAAAGAGGCATGCATGTCTGGAGAGTAGAGGCCCAAATGTTCCTAGTGGAGGGGGACTAGGAAGATTTGGGGGCTCTGTGCTGGCTGGCGAGCCAGGCTCTCTGACCTGCTCTCTTGCCCGCAGCTGGTACTACAAGCGTTGGTACCAGTAGCTGGCTCTCCCTGTCCCAACACCCAAGCCCCACCTCCGCGTTCCGACATCATTACATCCCCTACTTCCGAGGTAAGGCGCCAAGCTGTGGGCGGGGGGTGCCTGTCCCCGGTCGCATGGCTTCCCTGGGCCTCTGTCTCATGCTGTGTCCCTCGCTATGTGTGTCTTGTGTCTGGTCCATTGCTGTCACCGTGTTCGTGTTCCTGGCAGGAAACGCTGGTGCTCACCTCAGAGTCGCAGGCAGAGGGCATGGGGTAGAGGTGAGGAAGAGGGTGCCTCCCCGGAACCCCTCTGTGATGCCCCGAGAGTGATGGGGTCAAGGTGGAGCCACAATGCCCAGAGCCTGGGCACCTGGTGCAGGGCCCAGCCTCACCCTGTGTGGCTGTAGTGCCTGGATCTGGCCAGGACAAAAACACACGACCCACACAGACACACAGACACAGGCATGCCCAGCCTCATGTTCTCCATGTCAAGGACTCAATTGTATCCTCCAAACCATGGTTAAAGCCCTGACCTCCCAGGACCTGGGATCCCCAAGGACATTCAGATTAGATGAAGTCATAGGCGGGGCCCATGTCCACAGTGGCTGAAGGCCTCTAGTGAGGGTCGAGACCCAAAATGTCCCCCAGAGGAGCGCCCGGTGTTGAAAGCTCGGTGGGCTTGGAGGTGGTGGGATGTCCAGGCCTCCGGCATCATCAGTGTGGGGCACCCTGATGAAAGGTGATGGAAGCAGGTGGCGGGTGGGGCCTAGGGAAGAGAGTAGCCCTGGCGTGTGTCTTGGGACCTGGCTGTCCCTGGCCCCTTTTCGTCCTCTGCTTCCGGCCACCAGGGGGTGAGCACACTCCCTGCCACACCCTTCCCGTGCGTTTCTACATCACCCCAGCCTCAGACAAGGAGCGGGCTCACCACGGACTGAGCCCTCTGCTCGTGAGCCGAATGCCCTTCTCCCTGGAAGTGGGTTGTGTCCGGTGCTTTGTCATGGTGTGAACAGCTGACCGAGACACCAGTAAGAAGAGTAGGTAGCCGGATGTCTCTCAGTGCACACATGCGGAGTATGGGCCATGTGATGGCACCCGAAGGACAGGAAGACAGGAAGAGAGGCCTCTGGGGATGCGCACTCTGCCACTTCTGGCTGATCCTTCTGGTCACCAGAACTTCAAGGTCCCACCACGTGGAGTTCCCGCAGGAGGAAGCTCAGCATCAGGGGCCTCGGCTGCAGCAAGCTGCTGGCTCCCTGGCCCTCCCCGCTGCTGGCTGGCACAGCCCTGCGTCTCCTGTCCTGGGGAGCGGGCCGGGCAGGCACAGCTGGGTGCTGCATCATTGAGGCTCGCTGGATGGGGTCCTCTCTGCCCTTGGCATCCTTGGAGAAGGCCCTGGGCATGGGTCCTGCCATCCTTCCCTGCACGGGTAGCCCTGCAGCTCTGTCTCTGAGTGGTGGTAACTCCCTGGAGGAGCAGAAAACCCAGCACTCTGACCCCAGAGCCAGCGCACCTCATGTCACTCACCGTCCATAGAGGAGACATGAGGACAGCCGGTCTGCAGGGCACCCATGGCGAGGATACATGCCTAACCCCTGGCTGAGCGTTTCAGGAGCCACACGGTCAGCCAGGTCGGCACCAGCCCTGTGCCCTGTGCCCAGGCCTTGCAGGAAGAGCGTGGCCACAGCCTTCCCCACGTGGGAGGCACCACTGTGGGTGGCCTTGGAACTGTGATGCCACCTCCTTGCCTTGGCCACTGGCACCTTTGCTTAGCAACCAGAGCAATCCTGCCCTCTCAGGACTGGGTGTGGGGCAGCTGGCAGTCCTGGCTCTGCCTCCTGCTTGGCTTCTGTGGCCGTCTGTGGCCTGGGAGCCCCTGCTCAGCCTAGCATTTGCCCCCCACCCACCTAACGAAGGCTCAGCAAGAGGTCCTTGGTCCAGGTCAGATACAGATGTCTGCTCTGACACTTGTTCACGAATTGGAGCCACCCTCCGACTCCAGGTCCACTCTGAGCCACCAGAGACACAGCCGTGTCCAGGACACCCTGCCCACCCTCTGAGACAGCCCTCCCCGCAGGCTCCCAGCTGAAAGATGCTGTGGGTGACAGTGCTCCCCACCAGCGTTCTCCCACCTGGCCACATGGGGGCGGGGGCCCTGACCTCTTCCCCCTCTTTCAAGCTAGAAAAGCTTCCTGGTGTCTCAATCCCAGGATCCCCTCTCACCAACACCCACATTCTGTAGAGTGCTAGTAGCAGTCACTTTCACTTTAGTATGAATTTTAGTCCCTGGCAGTTGTGAACTTTAATCATGACCTCTCACCTGTCAGGAGGCAGGCACCAGGGGTGGGTGAGGATGGGGTGCCATAGGGAGCCAGCACTGCTGAGGGTGTTCGTGTGGGCAGCTGCTGCTTGCTGACACAGTGAGCCTTCCTCACACCATGTGCCCCAGCACGGGAGGGAAGGAGCAGCCCAGCTGTGGGCCGCAGGTCAAGCCTGCCTCCCCTCCTGGAGTGATCCTTTCTCTGGCCGTCCCCTCCTCACTGTAACCCCAGAGCCTGGACTGCACAGGTGGCCTTGGCTGATGATGCAGGCAGGGGGTGGCAGCAGGTGGCACTGCACGTGGACCTGCGTACCTCTCACCTGCAGTCCTCACAGGCTTGCTGTGCTGTCACCTTGAGAAAGGTCACCAAGAGCCACTGAGCACCAAGGACCTAGCAGGTGCAATCGGAGCCATCACCCAGGCGTCAGCCAAGGGACTTGGTCCGTGAGCCCAGACTGCAGGGAAGGAGGCCCAGAATGAGCAGAGGGGGACGAGGAGGAGGGACGCATATCAGCGCAGGAGAATTCGGTGTGTTGCATTGCCATGGAGCAGGGGGCCTGACCTCCACCCAGACGGGACAGACTGGACAGGAAGAGCAGAGCAGCGGAGACACTGATGGACACTGTCCCCAGCCCAGCATCACCTCCAGTGCCGGTGTCCTCAATGCAGTGGGGTGGAGAGTAGCCATTACCACCACCGTGGCAACCTCCCCGAGCCACAGCTTGAGGCCCATGCAGGGAAATTATCAGGCTGCCGAGTCCCAGGGAAGGGACGCTCTGCAGGATCCCGGCCAGCGCTTCCCAGCCAGCGCTGTCACCACCGTCAGCACCAAGGCACCTCTGCCACTGCCAAGAAGGGGAGGAGCTGCGTGGGTGGCTGTGATGCGTCCTTCCAGTCAGGTCCCAGGACAGACGAGGAACTAGGACAAAGCCTGGTACAAGGGGGTCAGAGTTACCAACGGGACTGGGTCTGGAGCGTGCAGGGACCCCCTGTGCATCCCAAAGCTGTTCTACAGTTTTAATTGAAAGCTTTGTTTCAATGAAAAAGAAGACAAAGGAGGCCTCTGCAGTGGCCTGGGCTGCCCACCCACCACAGGCCATGCCCTGGACATGACCCCAGCTGGTGGACCCACCACTGTGCCCAAGCAGTCTCCACAATGGCGCTCTCACACCTGGCAAGGTGTTCTCACAGCCGCTGTGACATTCGTGCCCTGGGTTTCTAGCTCCAGGGTCCAGGGAGGAAGCTGGCCTTGAGTGGGGGAGGGAGCCCCTCGATGCCCTTGGAACCACTTGGAGCTGGCCTGGTGACTGCACCTGCGGCACCATCGTGGGTGCCCTGAGAGGACGCAGGGTCCCAGTCAGTGGGCGCTGTGTTCAGTGCAGCCCAGGGAAGGTGGTGCTCTGCATGGTCAGGCCTTCCTGGGGCTCTTGGCCCAGGGAGGCTCAGCCCAGTGGGGCTGGGAAGGGCACTGCAGTGGGGCCAAGAAGGCAGGATCCACTGTTAGAGGCCCCAAGTCACCTGGGTCACCAAGAATGGGCCTGTCTCCCCTCGGTCTCAGCCCTCCAGCCAGCTGATAAGAACCATGGGTACTGCAGAGACGGATGTGCAGCTGTGCATACAGCAGCCCTCCTGAAACAGATGTGCACACAGGTGTGCAGGTTGCACACGGGCATGCAGTCTTCTCTGGCATGTGGCAGCCATGGCAGCTGGCTGCACCTGGTGTGAGCACCGTCAGCTGCCCGTGAGGCCACGCTGAGCTCTTGTCGAAGTCCTGCTGCTGTCCTGCTCGATGCCCTTGGGCAACTGTGATTTCTTTTTGGTGTGTGGGCCCCGCCTCCCTGGCGCAAGGCCCAGGCTGACTGCAGAGGGCGCAGGAGCCCATGAAAGGCAGGCCCAGTGGGATGAGCACAGCTAGCATCTGTCCACTCTGCAGGGTCCTGAAGGTCCCCTACCTCACACTCAGCACCAAGGAAGTCCCATTGCATGGCAAGGTCTCCCAGAAGGTCCCAGGTCCACCCCCTTGGCATCCTGGGGGGGGCTCCCTGGGGCTCGGAAGAGATGACTGGCCTTGGGTGTCTCGAGTGACCTCACGCCACTTCGTCAGCTGTCCAGTGCCGTCATGTCCCGTCCATCACGCCATCTTTATGTGGCTGGGGGTCGCAGGGGTGTTCCCTGGGCAGCCTGGCCACCTGCACTTGTGACTTGCTCATCCAACTTCCTCCGCGGAGCAGGAAGTGACCTCCAAGGTGGGGGGGTCAGGTCAGAGGAGTCGCCCCTCAGTCCGCCCCGAGGCAGCCATAGCCGTACCAGACCACTGGGTCATGCAGGTTTCTCTTAGGCCATAGCTGACAGAATTACCCCACGGCTTTTGAGACCCTTCTGGCTTGTCCTAGTGCTTTAGCCCTGCTCTGCGGCTGATGAAGGGTCGCACAGGCAGCAACCCACAGGTTCAAGGCAGCCCAGGAGGGCGGGCTTTGGTGCTGGCGAGGGTGCTAGGCGCTGGGTCACAGCCCGCCTTGGCACAGGGGCACAGGGTGTGCACTCCAGGATCCCAGCCTCTGGCGCCAGGGAGCTCTTGGCCCCACTGACCGATAACCTCAAGGTTGGATTAACAAGTCGTGGGCCCGCCGGAGAGTTATGGACACCGCTCTGCGGTCCCTACGAGGCGGAGGGCATGGGCTGCCCCTCCAGGCAGGAGAGGGGCTCCGTGCCACTCAGCCTTTGTGTGAGAGATGTTTGCCTTTCTGTCCCGCCTGCCGGTCCTGCCCTCCCGTCTGGAGGCAGCGAAAGCGGCCGCAGCACACCCAGCCTCTCGGTGCTGTCAGACAGCCGGCCGCCCTCCGCCACCTACCAGCAGGCACCGCGCCACTTCCACGTCCCAGGTAGGTTCCTGTGTGATGTTGCCCTGAGTGCACAGAGCAGGCACTGTGCCTGTCTGGGCTCAGCCAGTGCCCCATGATTCCCTAACCTCTCCTCAGCACCCCAAAAAACCCTGAGCTTGCGTACCCCAAACAGATACAGATGTGAGTCTCTCCCCAAGTCCCCCGTGCCTGGGGAGGTTCTGCCCCCTCTCGCCCCAGAGTAGAGGGGCTGAGCCAGTTGTACCCTGTGTGTCCCGACTCTCGCTGCCCACCCTGACCACCTCTCTCCCTGTCCCCTTTGGATCAGGTAGCATCTGGAGTGGGGGTGCTTGCTGTAGGTGTGGGACGTTGGCCCCAGATCCTTCCTGGGTGCCAGCGGCTTTCTGGTGATTCTGAGCCTGGGCGACTGGGTGGCCCTGAGAACGCCACCAGGCAGAAATCATCCCAGTCTGCTGCTTACCCTCCTGTTCTCTCCTTTTTGTTTCTCTTCTCTCCCAGACACTGGCGTAAAAGATAACATCTATAGGAAACCCCCTATCTACAAGCAGCATGGTACAGTTGGAGTCCTCTGCTCTGGTTTGCCCTGCATGTCTGGCCTCCCCTTGCTTCTGAATGCGTCCTTCGCTGTGTCCCCCTTGGTGTGGCACAGGCATGGGGCCCTCGCTGTTGGGGTGCAGATGTGCCATCTCTGGTGTGTGGAGGGCCCCTTTCCATAAATGACATTGGCGGGGACTCTGGTGGGTCCGTGATCTGGAGTCTCTGAGAGGCAACCTACAGGGAAGCAGTCGGGCTGGCTCCAGTCCTGTGGGAGGGGCAGCAGCATCCCGACTGATCACCGCCTGGTCACTGCCTGGTTATCGGGAAAGGGAGCCATCCCCAGAATCTCTCACTTACACCTCAGCAAGGACCGAGGTCCTGTGTTTAAGAATTTCCCACAGCAGCACACAGTGCCTGGCCTTTAGCTAAAGGGCTTTCCTGCCCAGGGGAGGAGCTGACCGGCAAGGGCATCCCCTAGCCCCGGGCTCTGCCTCCCTCTCCACTGGAGCTCATCTGGGACAGGTGTCAGGGAGCCGACTGCCTATGCTATGGAGCAGGGGACAGAAGGAACCTGAATTGGGATTTCTGAGACTAGGGGCTGCTGCCAGAGCCTCTGTTTCCTCATCTGCAAAGCAGGACCTGTCCCTGCCACCCTGCCCTGTGGGGACCTGGTGAGATTCCAGATGTGCAGATGCAGCCTGCCATGCCGTGCCGTGCCGTGCCGTGCCGTGCTGTGCCGTGCTGTGTGCATACAGGGAAGGCATGCAGCCGCTAGTGCAAGGCAGGGGGTCATCCATGCCGGAGGGAGGCACTCATCCGGGTCGCTGAGGGAGCAGCCTGTGACGTGCCCTGTAGGGGGACTCCGTGACTGTCCACTCGCCCACCCGGTAGAGCTGTGGCTCTGGTTGTGAGTTCGGGGTGCGCACTGTTTCACTTCCTCTGTGACCCGCCAGGCTCCACGCTCTGAGCATCTCTCCTTCATCCCAAGCAAGAAAACCTGAGCCCATGTCTCACCCTCCAGAGTGGGTTAGAGCGAGTGGGAAAGTGACTGTTAGATTGCCTGGATGAGCTCTTGAGTGTTAAGAGGTAAACTGAGGCCTGGGCAGAGGGAGGAGCATCCTTTAAGCACCCCTCATGGCCCTGTGCTGCACAGCCTGCCTGGAGCCTGTGGGTCCCCTGGTCCTGAGCCCAAGCCGCAGGTGACTTGAGGCCCTTCTACGAAGCAACCTCAGGTCTGCGTGTCGAGTTGGGTGCCACACTGTCCTGATGAGGAAAGGGCAGCCCCAGGGGGGCAGAGGGGACAGAAAATAGGAGACAGGGCCCAGCATCCAGGCCTCCGCCTGTGCCCCAGGGGGATGGCAGAGGTTGTGCAGTATCTTTGTGCTCAAAAAACTGCGGCTGTGAACATGTCTCCCGTCCAAAGGCAGTGTAAGGCTCACCTGTTTAAAAAAGCCCTGCACAAGTGCCAGAGCCCATGTCGGGGATGCCATGAACGAGGTCTTACAGAGCCCCCGCTTCCTCTCTGTTCCCGGGCTAAACCTGAGTGCAGTTCTGGCCCCGTCTCGCAGGGAGGGGCCCTGTGAATAGCAGATGGCTGGGCACAGCCTGGAGCTTTAACTCAGGCTGTGCGTGACCAGGCCTCCCTAGGGTGCATTCAGGAGACAGCGTGTGACGTGCCTGGTTTCCAGCCTGTACCACCCATGAGACTTTGTTGTTATAGGACTTTCTGCATCTGGCAGCTTAGATTCTGGTGGAAGTGTGCGTATGTGTAAGTGTGCATGCACGTGTGTGTGCATGTGTATGTCTGTGGTGCATATGTATGTGCACATGTGTGTGTGTGAGGCCCACACCCAGAACATGGGACTCTGACCCGGCAGTGCCTCTTGGGAGACGGAAATGGTCAGTCCCGAGTAGCACCCTTTCCTTACAGTAGTAGAAAAGCTTAGGACCTCAAGTCTGTAACTTGCCAGCTCACCGGAGCTTCTGTTTTCCCAGGAGCCTTTCTCCTTCTTGATGCCTGAGTCCCCTCCTCCCACAGCCCAGGATGGACCATGCATGGTGTTAGGGACAAGGACGATTAGTGTCACCTAGCAGCCATCTAATGTATGACACATGGTGCTTGGGACATGGGGAGGGGGTCTGGGTCTAGGACCGCGATGGAGAGGAGCCGTGGCAGCTCGTGGACTGTTGCAGGTGGGCTCCCCGCAGGCCCCGGGAGGCCCGAGGGCCACAGAGCCGTTCCTGCCACTGTGTTCTTAGGGGCACCCACCTGCCTGGACAGCAGCAGTGACCACTCGGAGCATGCATCGTTCTTTAGTCCTTCAGCCCTGGGCACAGGGGAGTGGGCTGTCCCTCACGTCTCTCCAGATCCTGTCGGTTGCAGGGCTGACTCTCCCTTGGTTTGGGCTTCTTGGGATGCGAGGAAAGGGCAGGGACAGCAGGCCCCACATCCAGAGGGAAGTGCGAGGCTCTGTGCTGGTCTGGGGACGCCTTCAGCAGAGGTCCTGAGGGCACAGGAGTGACAGAGGCTCAACTTCCCGCGAGGGGTTCTCAGGGCACGGGTGCTGTGGCTCCACATGACCCAGAAGGCACAGGAGACAGAACACGCAGACGGGGCCAGTCAGGGTCACCAGGAGGGGAGAGGCAGGGGCAGCAACAGGGCCCGAGGCATCGACAACACTTTCTTTTTCTTCTGAGCCGTGACGTGGCCAGCGAGCAGATGCCCTAAGTCCTTAGATGAGGAGCCAAGGACCAGGGGATAAGGTGACCTTTGTTATCCAAGGAGTATTTTGTAAGCATCTGTTAATGGGCTGGGCTCTGTCCCAGTGCTGGGGACACATGGGTGGCAAAGCTGAGATGCCAGTGGACCAGGCATAGCACACATATACAGGCAGGCATTCACACACACACACACACACACACACACACACACACACACACAGGAGATCATTCTCTCAGTGTAATCCTGTAATTACACTGTAATTTAATTTCAGTTGCACAGACAGGCGTAGCTCTGGGAAGATCGGGCTGACCACGCTGGCGGGCTCGTCCTCAGAAGCCAGGTCTGGAGGCCGAGAGCCCCAGGGCAGGGGTAGCGCTGTCTGGCCAAGGCCTGACTGAGTCCTACACCTGCCGAGGCCCCTTGGATGGAGAGCACCCACCAGACACCGGCCCTGGGCCTGGCTGCCGCAGCCCTGGTCTCACCTAGGACTCTCACCTGTGACAGGGTTAGGGTTAGGGTTAGGGTTGGGATGGTGGCCAGGATGACCCCGAAGCTCTGCCAGCTGTCTAGGGAGTCCTGCAGGTCAGAGGTGTCCCTGTGTCAGAAGTGACCAAGATTTAGCTAGTTAGGCCTCCCTTGGGAGCCCTGGGCCAGAAGTGCTGTGTCCGTCTTATTCCGCTCACCACACCAGGCGCCCAAGGAGACCCAGGGACACAGTGGACATGGCCATGGCCTGAGACTCCTTCTGTAGGGGTTCACTGAGGACACAGGGCCCCAGGGACACTGTTCATGGCAGGGGGAACTGGGCGATGTGGCCCAGAGTCCCCTAAGGCACACATCTGCCAGGAAGAACCAAGTAGGTCATCCCAGGCTCCAGGGAGCCCAGCCAGGCTTGGGTGCAGCCCTCACCTGCGCCCCAGCCCGCCCTCTCTGAGTGAGGCCTGCACCCCTGCCCATGCTGGTGCCCTTAGGGCAGGTTTTCCCGGACTGCCACCCAGTGCCTGTCCTGTTAGGAGCTATGGTCAGGCACTCATCGTGGCATCTGGAGAACACCTCTGAGCCAAGTGGCTCCCCCTTCAAGGCATCTGGAGCCCTCCTCCTCCTCCCGCTGTCCAGCTCCCTGGCCTGGGGCTCCGCCGGGGCAGAGCTGTGTCTCACTCTTCTGCCTGCCTTGTACTCAGGAGGACAGGCGTGCAAGAGAGGGGGGGGGGTAAAGCGGGGGGAGCAGATCAGAGCGGGGCAGTGGGCAGAGGGTGGGCGCAGGTGGATGCATCAGTGGGTGGGGCACAGACTGACAATGACGAGGAAGAGTCTGAGTGGCTGGTGATGGGTGACGTCAACGTAAGGAGGACGGATGGGGGTGGATGGGGCAAGAGGTTGGACGGTCGGGTGAACGAGTGGATGAGCGGCAGGTGGATGGGCAGCTGGGCATCTGGGTGGACAGACGGATGGGTGGGAAGTGACAAGGCTAGATGGGTAAGTGCACAGGAATGAATAAATATTTAAATGGGTGCATATACGGGTGTTCAAATTACAAATGACTCACAAGGTGGCGTGTGGGAAGCAGTGAAGCCCGGCCTGTTCTCATCCAGGGAGGAAATAAGAATCTGACAGTCCCCAGGGGAGCTGGGAGAGGGGTCCCCACATCAGGCAGATCCCCAGCTCAGGAGCTGCCTGTGTGACCCTGCGCCATGTTCCCTCTGGTTGTCCTGAGCCCCTCTGCCTTTTCCTGATGCTTCAACACGGTGGTCACAAGTTAGCCCAGATCTGGCCTCTTGTTTATTCCTAATTTCTTCTGAGTTGTTGGTTATTCTGGAATTCACATTGGTGCTCTCCTGGGGTCCTCACCACCTGGAGGCATCACTTACCCACTTCACAGGTCAGGAAACTGAGGCTCAGAGCTGCTGAGGAAGCCAGTTACCAGTGCTGCAAAGCACCGGTGTCCGCCTGTTCCTGCCCAAGCGCCTGATTCCAAGAGAACCCATCCCCTGTTGTGTGGGCTGCTGCACTCAGCTAAGAGACGCCCTGGCCTGGTTGAGTGTGTGGGGTGGCATTGCTGAGGGAACGGGCTGAGCCTGAGCAATGTCCCCTCCCTGTCACTGCCAGGCCACTTGGAGCCCTGTGGTAGCTCTGTAGCCATTCACGTGGCCACCCCATCGCCCACAGCTGTGTGGAGGTTGGAGACAGGACCCACAGGTCCCCTGACTGAGCTCCGTGGGCAGGGATTTCACCCAGAGCCTTTTGCTCCCAGGGCTCCGGGCTTGGCAGGAATGGGGCTGGGTTATTTTGGCCAGCAGGACTCCAGGGGCTTTGCCTGCATGGATGGTACTCCCAGATCTCCAGGTCCCCGCTGGCCGCCTCTCCTCTGGGATGTGCTGGGCAGCTGCAAGGAGCCAGGGCTGATGCATGGCCACACTCAAGGCCACTGCTGCAGAGCAACAGCTGTTGTCCAGACAACAGGAGCGCTTGTGCTGCCGGCACGCCTTGGCTTGTGTATTCCCTGCCCGTCTCCCTGGCACAGCCTCCTTGGCAGACAGTGGCCCTAGGAGTGGAAAGTGTGAGATCTTTCCTTTACACCTTGAAAATCACCATCTCTCCCAGAGAGCCATGAAGCAGGGAGCCGTAGAGCAGGGAAATGTCCGTGCATCCGGAACGGAAGTGCTCAGTCTTCGATTCTGGCCTTATCTTATCAAGGTCCTGTAGTCCAATCCCCAATGTCCAAGCTCTCTGGCCTGGTGTCAGTCTTGTCCTTGGTGGTGCAGGAGGCGGGGCGCTCCAAAAGACTGGCAGGGTCCAGCCCGCCCCTGGCTGCAGGTAAGAAGCCCACCGTGGCTGGCTTGTCCCACCCGACCCGGGTCTGCTCTGCAGGCCAGGGGACGGCCAGCTGGGTTCAGTCCTGCCATGCATGGGGCTGGCACTCCGGCTCAGGGTGTCTGCATGCTGCAGAAGGGAGCTGGGACCTCCGCATGCCGTGTGGGGTGCACTGGCTGGAAATCAGGGCAGTGCTGCTGGGCGACCTGCCCTAGATGCTGCATGTGGTGTCCTTGGTAACGAGCTGGGCCAAGGTTACACTTTCTTGCGTTTGTTGTTGAGTTCACTTCTGGCTGTGTTTTTCATTTCTTGTTGCATGGACTTTGCCCGGTGGCACAAGCCACGCCACGTTCTGTGTTTTGTGGGCAGTGAGGCAGGGGAGACAAGAGAGGACTCTGGGTCCACCAGACTGCCAGGGTTCCTGCCGCCTCTGTCCCCACTAGTCTGCAACCTTGAGCAAGTCCCTGAGACTTGCTCCCTAATCTGTGATATGACGTGAGGCCCTTGCTCGCAGGGTCTGGTGTGGACAGGCAGCGATGTACACACAGTACCTGGCTTGCATCTGGCCCCGAGGGCCTCCAAGCTGTCCCGGCCCTTCCACGCTCCACCTGCAGTACAGCGTCCGGCACCTGCCTGGTGGCTGCCTCTGAGATCGTGGGTGTCCACACCTAAGGGTGCGACAGACTGAACCGAGGCTCTGCTCGTGCACCTGCTGCTCCGCCCTGGGCCTGTGCCAGCTTGCCGGGGCCCTGAGCCCCTAAAAGGCGCTCACACCATTGACCTCTTCCCGTTTCATGTTCCATTTCTGACCGTAGTGATAAAGTAGGAAACCAGAATTCACAGCACACTGCTTCTACAAACTGATTTTTCCCTTCCAGCTGCCCGGCGATCGGATGGGGAAGACGGAAGCTTCGACCAGGATAACAGGAAGGTAACTGAGGAGCAAGTGCACCCCAGCACTGTGCTAGCCTTTCCCACTGGGGCCGCAGACTCCTCCGCTGCTTCCATTCCTTAGGGCTCCAGACCACAGTGGGGGGCGTGCCCACCACCTCCTTCCTGTACTCAGGACGGGGCTGCTGCCCACATCCTGGCTGGAGGTCGGGTAACCGAGCTGTAGCTCCATAACTGGGAGGACACACTGTGCCGAAGTGCATTCTGGGGGTGCTGGGATGACAGCTGTGAATCAGGTTGGTTTTCCACCAGGGTCCACAGAGCTCGTGGGCACAGCTGTCACCAGAGAGGGGGCGCAGGTGTGAATGGCAGGCATGGCTCTGCTCCAGTGGTGCCTTTTGGGGCCCTGCCCTCCCTGAGCCTTGGTTTTTTCATCCATGAAATGGAGCAACAGCATTTACACCGAATAGTCCTATCCTCCAGTCTCCCGGAGCAGAGACTTCTGTTAAAAGCTGCACCTTGCTCACACAGTTTCCTCACTGCAGGGCCTGCTCCTAGGTTAAGGAGGCTGCTAGAAGGCTCCAGGGACCTCCCAGTTCACGTGACCTTTTCTCCTCTGTAGAAGACCAGCTGGCTGCTGCCCAAGGGAGATGCTGACCTAAGGACAAACTCTCCAGACCTGGACAGCCGGTCTCTATCGCACAGTAGTGGGCTGGAGCGAGAGCCACTCCCGAGGGCGCCTGTAGACAGCTTCTGCTCACGTGAGTGGCTCTTCTGAGCCGGGCGCTGTGCTGTGCCCAAAGGCCTCCAGCTTCGGGGCCCCTGCTGCACAGCCATCTCAGGACACATGACAGTGAGCTGGCCCTGGAGGGCAGCCCAGATAGGAGAGCAGAGGCTCTCCTCCTCCAATGCCACCCTCGCCCTGACATGAGTCGACCGATGTGCACACAGAGGCCAGGGCACAGGGTCTCCTGGTGACACTTCCAGAGTGGGCAGGCAGGGATCCCAAGTCATGCTAGGAAAGTACCCTCAGGGCCCGATTCCCCCAGAGTGGATGGGGGCATGGTCTAGAGCAAGTCCAGAGCTGGAACTGGCGACAGGGTGCCCTGGGTGAGGTGCTGGAGAGGCCCGGGTGACAAGGCCACCATTGCCCACCACTGGGATGTTGTGAAGACTGAGCTGGGAAGGTCGTGTCCGTTGCTGTAAATCCTAGACAAAGTCAAGGCAAGAGCCACTGGATTCCCTGGGGACCTCCTGGGAGCACCTCTGGGTCCCAGCCGGCTAGGGTCTTTGTACATGGTCCAGGTGGGGTCTGAGGGTGGAAGCAGAGGCAGGAAGAGGGGGCGTGATTTGAGGCACAGAGGACAGGTCCAGCTGTGCAGGAGACAGATCCTCGCCCGTGTGTGACCAAGCTACCTCATGCATCTTCAGGAGACTTGGCTAGGGCCCAGGGGTGCCCTGCCTGGCAGGTGGTAGGTGCTCGAGGAAAGGCTGCCACCCATCCTCACCCTCACTGCGGTGATTCTGAGCAGCACTGCGTTACCACCCGTGAAAGTGGCCCCTGGGAGAGGGACACGTGAGGTGCAGAACCCTGAGCCGTGGTTGTTACAGGGCGGCTGTGAACTAGGACAGGCGTGCTCTTCGGCGTGGGCCTCTGTGCACAGCGGTCCTCCTGCTTCCACCCTCTGGGCCTCAGAGCCAGTGCCTAAGGCTGGGGTCGGCCTGGCAAAGGGCACTGACATAGTCCCCTGGGGTCTGCAGGGTGCGGTGTGTAGGGCCTGCTCTCCCCTGTGGCTGGCTGAGCCTCCCGGGGGCAGCCACTCACTGTCCTGCAGCCCTTGCCCTGCATGCGTGGCCCCTCATGTGCCCCAGCTCAGGAGCAGCCCGGCAGCCCCGCCTGCCCTGATCACTGGCTCCAGTACCAAGTGTGGACATCCGGGTATCAGAAGAGGGCGCTCTCCAGCTTCCCGTCCTTCCCTGGGGGGTAGGGGCGCAGGCCTCATCTGCCATCCTGGTTCCCCCTGCCCGTGACTGCTGTCCCTAGCAATTCCTGCTGTACTCTGTGGCTCAGGACTGAGAGAGGGGACATTGCAGGAAGGCGCCCCTTTGGAGACAGCTGCCACTGTTGAGCTGAGTGACCCGCAATGTATAGCCCTCATCCCATACCCTGCTCATCTGCGAATGCCAAGTGTGGGTGCTCTGGCCATCCTAGGACACATGGGCTGATGGGCAGAGGTCTCTGAAGGCCACCCACAGCTGCAGGGACCTGCCGGCCGCCTCCACCGCTTCTGCCACCCCCATTGCACGCCACGCTGGCCCCCAGCTGCAGGAGCCCAGTGGCCCACAAACCTCCTGCACGGCACACACACTGTGGATGTGTCCTCCCCTCTGCCACACTTGCCGTGCAGCCACGACCATGGCTGCATCCTGCCTCGCTTTCCAGGGCTGCCTGGGTCAGCATTGCACACAGGAGCCCTGGGTCTCTCTGTGTCTGTTTCTGTCCCCGTGACATGGCCTTGTTTCCTCATGTGGCCAAGGACCGGCTGCGAGTTAGACCTGTCCAGATGAGCCTTGCCATCTGCCCCATCAGCCTGTGGGCTCCGTGCTCTTTTCCCGGCTCCGGGCCCGTTGTACCCACCTCTGACTGTGCGGAGCCTCAGCACCTGGCAAGCTGTGCCCGCCTGCCCCAGGGCTGCCCCTCACAGCAAGCGGAGGGAGGGGGACTGTGATGCTTAGCACAGTGGGCGCTCAATAAATGTTGGTTGAATTAAGCTGCGTTAAATTCAATGGGTATTTACTGAGCCCTCACTCTGTGCCAGACACTGAGAGGGATCCCAAGGGGGAGACAGGCAGCCAGCGCAGCCCCTACGGAGCCGTGTGCGGGCAGGCAAGAGACAGAGGTGCAGTCACAGGTGCCGCCCTGCCTGCTGGGGGCCTGATGGCTCCCAGGGCCCAGTCCACCCTCCTCCCTGCAGGACATCGTCCACCTCTCCCCCTGGGACCGAGCCCATCCTTCCGCCCTCATCCATCCCTCCGCCCTACTGAGCGTGCTGGGCGTGGCATTAGGTGGCACCGAGCTGGAGGTGGGTGACTGACTACCCAGGGACAGCTCCACCATGGGGCTGTGTTCTCAGACTCTGTGAAGAAACGTGCATTCAATGCTGATGGCTTCCTTTCCTGGTTGTGTCTAGGACTCTCTGGACCATGGACAGTAATGTGGCTTACAGATACACCCATTTCTGGTTTACGGATGCACCTGTTTCTGATCCGCTTGCTTCCCCGTAGGATGAGGCTTGATACCCAGGAAGAATTGGGGTGGCCTGTCCCCTGCCCTGGCCTTTAGACAGCTTGTTTCTGCTCTTTCCGGCCCTGCCCTCTCTTCTGAAGCCCCTACACACACATGCATTGTAGTCAGAGATCCTGGCTGGCTGGAGACACTGCCCAGGGTACTTAGGGCCCCTAGAAGAACCCCGACACTTGCAAAGTGAATGAGCCCCCTCTTCAACCAGCACAGTGCCTAAGGGGGGCAGAGGGACAGGACGCAGGGGTGGAGCTCGGAGACAGATGGGCAAAGCGTAAATCAGCAACAGAGACAGCACAGGGGGGCCCCAACTTGCCTGTCACTTTGGCACTGTGTCCCCTTCTGAGCTCTCCCGGGAGGCCCTCTGTGGAGTCCTGTGCTTGTGTTTTCTGGGAGCTGGGACACAGGGCCCAGTGCTGCTGCAGGGCTGGGTTCTTTGGTGGCCGTGGGAAGAAGGGGGCTGATGGGATGTCCTCCTCCCCAGTCCAGCAGAGTCCCAGGTGGGAGGACACTGTCCTCACATCTTCCGGTCCTAGCTACTGATTTGCCATGGGAGCATCAGGCAGGGCCAGCGTATCCGGGGCTGCAGGAGAGACCTGTGGGGTGGAGCCGCAGGCATCGGGTCAGATCAGCGCCCCATTTCCTCATCCTGTCGCAGGCAAAATAGGGCCCAGGGAAACGAGGCGGAGCCCAGTTACCCAGTGCATCTTTTGTGCGTACTTTGTTCTAAGTAGACAGAAACAGTCCAAATTCCCGTAGATCATGGTACCCAGTGCAGGAGGGGGTAGAGGGAGGGCGTGCGGTGTGCTCTTACATGTGGGAGCGGAAGGCAGGAGGCCGTGGCCAGCAGACCCAGGGCAGAACTACGGGAACAGTGTGGCTGCTGGGAAGAGGGCAGAGGTGTGGCTGGCGGACGTGGGCAGTGCAGGCAGCCAGCGAGAGATAGGCTCCCTATAGGTTCAACTCACAGACACCCACTTGGCAGAGGATGGGCAGGGGCATCCGTGGCTGTGTGGTGAGGGGGGGGGGGAATCCCTCAGTCCAGCTGGCTGGGGCCCCTGTATGAGCGCAGGAGCCCATGGAAGGGCTGTGGCCCTGGGTGGCAGAATCAGAAGACCCCGGGCGGGGCATTCCATCAGGGTGGGCCATTCCATCAGGGTGGGCCAAGGAGCCTTCAGTCAGAGGTGGGGGCTGACGGGCAGGTCTCCCTTGTTGGTTTGGGGACCCAGAGCCATCCAGGTAGATCTGTCAGGAGGTGGAGTCTCCGCTCAGAGGTCAGAGCAGAGGTCTGGACCAGAGGCACAGGCCTGGGGGGTCCAGCTCTCGATAGCTGGTATCTGAGACGCCAGCGCCCTGCCTGATGTCTCCAGGTGTCACCTACCATCCTCAGTGCAGGCAGACAGGGTGACGTGAGCCTGAACCACTTGGACCCAAACTGCGATGACGCTCCTGCCCCATTCCCAGCTCACTCTGTCAGTTCTCCTGTGGGGACAGAGAGTGGAGTGGGTGGGATGGCCCCCAGGGATGCTGTAGGCCATGGGCAAGGGTCACCAGGCATAGAGAACATGGTGGGGGTGGAACTGAGGATGCCAGAATGGAGGTGCCAGCCCGGCTCTGCACTGGGGAATGCAGGGAGGAGAGGCCAAGGGAGGCCACCTAATATCCAGCAGCAACTAGGCATCATGTGGGATACAAATACTTGGGCAGGGAATAGCCAGCCTGGTCTCTCTATAAAGACCAGTATTTACTTGGGGAGACCAGGTGCTCTCTGCCCCTGCTTATCCATGAGCCCCCAGGGGCAGTGGGAGCTGCAGGGTTTGGGGAGGACCTGGCCCAGAAGTGGATACTTGGGAGTCCTGGGGAGCAGCCGTGTCCTTTGTGAGGTGTCTTGGTTTCTTTTCTCTCAGTGCTGAGGTAAAATACCTGACACCCAAAATTAAGGAAGGAAAGGTTTGTTTAGCTCACAGTGTGTGGAGGTTTCAGTCCGTAATCAGCTGGCTCCAAGGCAGGGTGGCGTGGCACAAGGGCAATGCTTCAAGGCAGCAGCCAGCCAAAGCAGCCAGGGCAAAGGAGGTGGACAGCGAGCCTCTTTTCCTCCTTTGTATTGTGCATAGGCCACCCCACCTGACCCCATCACCCCTGCCTCTGCAGCGCTCACAAAATCTCCTTGCCGTCCTCTTGCACAGGCTCAGGATATTTCCAAAGTAAGGCTCCTGGCTCCCAGCTGGGCTTGTTAGTTAAACTTCTGAGCACTGCTCAAGTTGATGCAATGTATCAATCATAACTTGGGGCTGTCCCAGGCTCTCCACCGTCCAGACCTGCAAGCAGCAGACTTCCCGCAGCAGGGACTGGATAGGGTGAGCCTTCAGACACCAGGGCAGGGTCAGTGCCTCTCCGGGCTTGGGTGTCACCATGGACCATGCCTCAGCTCCACCCCAGGCTCCGGTGTCCCCCTCACTCGCCCAAGTGTCTGCAGCTCGCCACTGCTACGGGAAGCTCCATGTCTTACCTCAGGAGTGCTGAGTTCGTGGGGGAAGGCCCAGCCCAGGAGCTGTCATAGGGTTCAGGAAAGTAGCCATGGCACAGAGAGCCTGCTGTATGTGATGGGGTGCACCAGGGGACCCCACCTATCGGGGGCCTGGCCTAGATCCCCAGTCCCAAACAAGTGTACGGCGAAGGCTTAAATAAATGAGATAAGTGGTGTGATTTTAGGGCTCCAGGAGGATCAAAACTCTCTGCAGAGTTTGAGACTCTAGCAGCTAAGACATGGAATGTCTCTGGGTGACCCATATTTATTTAGTGTTCAAGTAAGGGGTTAGAGTGAAAACCGCAGAACAGACCTTGGACGTGGTTCAAGGACTTTGTCAAGTAACACGCTGTGCTTAATTTAGGAGAAGTATCTCAGGAGAAGAGCTCCATGTTGCGTTTACAGGAGCGAAATACCTACAGCTACAGTCTTTATTTAGTTCATTGGAGTTGGAGCAGGTGGCCTCAGCTGTGGTTTATCTTGTCCTTTGAGGCAACTCCTTGTTCTGGGGTCAGCTGGGCCATGCTGCACTGCCGCACGTGTGTTCAGTTTCCAGTTTCAATGGCTCCCAACACCCACCCTGGTCCCCAGAATCCAGGCACATCCAAAGGAGAAAATAGAAGTTACAGACAGAGTGCTTCAGGTTCCTGGTGGCATGCGGACATGTCTGTGGCCACTATGCACATGGAGCTGTGGACATGCCCAGGAGGCCACATGAGGACCATATAGTGCTTGTCACTTCTTGAGTGACCTTGGGCACAAGACAAAGCTCTCTGAGATTGGAAGATGGGGCTGGCCCAGTCCTCCTGGCAGGGTGCACGTGGGAGGCATGCAGTGTCCTACGGCCCGGCCCTCAGAAGACATCCAGGCGGGGCACACTCGGATGCTCAGCTGGCTCAGGGCTGCCCTCTCGGCTCTAGGGTCCTCTTGTCCACCGTCATCTGGACTTGCAGTGAGGTTCCACTACCTCCTTCCTGGAGTGGAACAGCCAAGGCTCAGGGAGGGACTAGACCTGCATAGGCCAACGTGGCTGCATTCACACGCTGACTGGGAGGAGCTTGCTGGCCAGCTGTCCACAGAGTACTGTGGTGATCCACCTGCTGTACCACCTCAGGACACCCATGAAGGCTGCACCTTGAATGTCAACTGCTTGACCTCAAGAGCAACTGGAAGAGCATGGAGCCACAGGCATCCATATGGTGCTGAAGCAAGGTACAGGGAGCCTTCGGGGGAAGTGCAGGGCTGCTCAGAGCAGGTGGGCTGATGGGCTCCTAAAGCCAAAAGCCCCGGGCACTCAAGTGATGTGGATCACTTGATCCCACTAGGTCTCAGCTTCCTAGTCTGTAAAATGGGCTCCCATTCAGAGCATGGGCAATGTGAATCAAGTGCCATGGCTGGATGTGTGAAGAGATGCTATAATGGTGGTTCTTGAAACACCATTCTTGCACCGGGGTTCTCCAGACCCTTTACATCCCTCCCCAAGAGAGACCAAGTGTGGTGGATGCAGACAGCAACTCATAGATGAGGCTCCTGGACACCATTCTCCCTGTTCTTCCCACTGAGCACAGCAAATGAACCCAGGAATAACAGCAGATGCCTCTCTCCCCACCACACTGCAGACACTGAACAGGAGGCCAGCAGGTGCCCAGAGCCGTGGGAGATGCCAGGAGATGGCCTGGCAGGGTCTCCCGTCCCACCAAGGACATATATCCATCACGGGCAGTGCCAGCAGGGTTGGACACGAGCACAGCTCCAGGGGAGCCTGGCAGATCAGGGAAGGTGACATGCATTACGAAGATGGGATGTCACCAGACCCTACCCACTGAACCTAGACAGGGGACAGTCTGCTGAAAAAGACCAGAGCCCTTCTCGAAGTAGTATGCAGATATCCAGCATTTGGTACCACACAGCAGGAACCATGAAGTTAGCTATCACTGTGTAAA